TGTCAGCATGTTGCTCGGCATCATCATTGTCAATGCCCTAGCTACATTCAGCTTTAGCATCAGTTCGGCTGCGAAAAATGCAAAAATAATACGTATATACCCGATAAAGCGGCAGGCAAACAAAGCGGGAAGTCAAAGTGCGATGCAGCATAAAAATTGAATGCGTCGCGACGGCAGAAACAACGGCAACGTTGAGGATGCTGAGGACGTTGACAGTTGACAGCAAAGAGGCTGAACAAGCCAAGTTATGTATGCATACATGCTCGTATGTGAGTTCGTGTGTGTGTTGTGGGGCTGGGTTCACTTGGGATCTGAGCTCTGGATTTCACCCTTGCAAAATTGCTTGTTTACTTCAAAGCAAGCAATTCTTAGCTTTTCCTTTCTTATCCGATGCACTTCACAGCAGCTGAACAGCTGCGTCGGAGGAAGAAACAATGCTGTCACATTGCTGGCCACCCCCCTAGTCAGCCCCTAGTCCGCACTCCCATTGTTGTACCAAAGTGTTGAGTGCATCGTCTGAGCACAGCAGGCTAGAGATTTCTTTATTGTGCGCTGATGCCTGTGCCGGATATTGCAACGGAAATTGATTGAAAGTTGCAACAACATCTTAAAAGTAATGGTAATGAGATTGTTTGTCATGTACTTTGTGCACTTGCAGCCAACGCTTGCATAACCGGTCGGCACCAGCAGCCATAGCAGCTCTTTACTTGACGGTTACCTGCGCTAAGTCCCACTGCAATAATTATAAATATTGCACATGCGACACCATGTGTTATTGCTGAGCCCACCACTAAAAATGAGTCTCTTTAGCCAAGTTGAGTGCTTGTCATAAAGCTCAATAAACACTCATATGCAAACATACGCATGCATATCACTGAGCTTAAGCGTGATTGGTGTGGGTGGCGTTACTTGAGTGGAACAGTCAGCGATGCTGGCGTGTATCAGTCATCGAAATACACCAGTGAAATGGCTGACGTTCGTTATTGTTCTCGCTTTCCCAACAAGAATTGTACATATGATGGAATCATCCACATTCAACTTGATGAATGCATCACATTGTGCGTGCGCTTATGGCCTGCATAACAAACGATGAGCTATGCCACAGCATCGGAGTCACACTGTGAAAGATATCGTCAAAATGTAAAGTGCAGCTACAAATTTATTGCCATTACTTCAAGGCTGGTATTATACAATTTTGAATTTTTTTACTTTATACCTCAAAGGTATAAGAGTATATTAGATTTGTGCAAGTGAAAAACGACGAAAACGACACAAGGCGGTGTGGCAGAAACCACAAATTATATATATTCTTGATAACCATTAGAAGACGAGTCGATCTAGCCCTGTGCATTTTAAAATTTCCTTATTCCATCCAATCCCCCGCTATTAGATTCAATTAAGTTTGGCAACTACTTCCTGTTAGTTTCATTATGACAGGCCAATTTTAAAGGAAGGTACATGTAGCCATAAATGTAATCTCTGCTTAAGCTCTGATATCAGATGCTGTTGTTACTGCTTTGGCCCAACTCTCACACCGCCACGCATATGCACACATAGACACAATGCCGATGCAAATGCACATATAATCGATCAGATTTTTTTGTTTATTATAATTTTTTACAATTTATATGATTATCTTACACATAGGTAGGTACAGAGTATTCCAAAGTCGAAACCCCCGACTTTAGCTTTTTCCGCTTGTTATAACTTAAATCTGATTTTTGGAATTCATACAACGCTCAATAACAAGTATGTGGGTAGAGTTCTTATTGAAATTTGTTTCCATGCTCATTCATCCCATGTCGCGGGCGGTTCGCAAGCAAAAAAAAAAGCAATTTTGAGCATAGTGTCCGTTTATCAGAGGGAGCCTAACATTGTCTACATTTCAACTGTTGCCACAAAACACATTTAATTGAGCGTACATTTCAATTTTAATTTGAGAATCACTCGCTTGTAATGCAGGGCAGACATTTTTAAAAAACTTTTAGCGTAGACAAGCCCACCAGCACCACTACACTCTGACAACTTTGTGTCCAAAACGGCACATAAATTACCACAGAGACGTCGACACTGACGTTTGGCAACCATAAAAGTTGAGGCAACTTGCCAAACCTCAAGCCAGCTTTCCCGTTAGCCTTCAGCTCGCCGGCCAGGCAGTCAGGGCGAGTAAGTGAACGAACGAACATGGCCAATGTAACGACTACAAAGTGACATATGAGTAGTCATCTCGTACAGCGCCAACAAAGCAGCTGAGACGGCAACATTGCGGCCGAGCTCGTTATATTTTCTGAATCACTTTTTCATGTACTTTCATATGTATTCGTATATGTGTTGTCATCGAGGCTGCTTCATTTTGTCTTGGTGCCATTTTTACTGACTTTTTTAATTTCGCCGAGCGGAATGCCAACGACGACAAAGTAACGCAGCGCAAAAGTCCGCAATACTTGTCAAACATGACCATTTTGGTCTTTTGCCTGTATGACAGAAGCCACAAATCTATGTATGTGTCTGGATCTGTATCTGTAGCTATAGCTGGGCCGCAATGACTCCGAATCTGACTCTGCTGGTCCGACTTGTCTTGCCCTGCCTGTCTAGCATTTTATTTCTTTAGATCTTCGCTTGCCTGCACATGCAAACGTTTGCTTTCGTCGTAAAAAAAATAAAGAATAAAAGACAAAAATGGGAAAAGTCTAAGAAATGTTATCGCTGCTTTGAAATGTGTGTTGTGTGTGGATTTGTGTGTGGATTTATGTGTGTGGGTGTGTGTGTGTGTGTGTGTGTGTGTGTGTGTGTGTGTGTGTGTGTGTGTGTGTGTGTGTGTGTGTGTGTGTGTGTGTGTGTGTGTGTGTGTGTGTGTGTGTGTGTGTGTGTGTGTGTGTGTGTGTGTGTGTCGTGTCTATGCTTATAACTCATACGCCATGTTTGCACAGACTCAGACGACAGAGCACCCGCCCGCCTGTTTGTCCATTTGAGTGTACAATTTGAAAAGGCTACTCGGCTGTCCTTGAGGCGCTTGTGATGACGATATTACATTGTCGATTTGTGTGTGTTCACTTAAATTGTTGCAAAGTGGCCTCACTAAGCGAGCCAGTAACTACAACATTCACATACATACTATATTTACCTGGCCTTGCTGAAACTGATCTAAATTATATAAATTGCCCATTTCTACATTCATTTAAAGTTTTAGATTTATTTTCAAGTTTTGCTCTCCGTTTGTGTTATTGTATTCCTTGTATTCTTATTTGGGGAGTTTTTCACTTCTTTTATTCGTAGGTTTTACATTTTAAGTGCTTAAAATAACATACATTTATGCACATCGTTCCTTTTTGTTGTCGTAATCATGTAAGTTTAATTATGTTAATGCATTTTATTCTAAATTAGTTTTATTTTACACTTATGTTTTTACTAATAGCTACGTTTATTATTTTATGTGTATATCAATTAGCTAATTGTAATACTGCTTCTTAAAGAACATACGATTAGTTTTTAAAGTATTTATTTAATTTAGCGAAATCACTTTCGAAATGTTTTCAAATTTGCTATCAGCGTGAAATTGCTTAAAAATGGGTTTTTATTATGTAAACAACATTTGTATTTGTCCTAAAAAGTTTCTGTTGCCAACAAATAGTTGAAGTGATAACAATATTTTACACGGTGCTTGGTGTCTAATTTAAATTTAGTTTTAATCTGTATACACTGGAAACGCGCATAATTTTTTTACATGCAATTTACATAGATTTAAAGTGCGAATTTTTTATTTGCTAATCAAAACTATACTCAATATTTCAAAGTCTTTTGAATTCGTAACAAACTTTGTAATGTTTGATTTGCTTGTTAAAGTATAGAAAAATTTGATTTATGTATATAAATTCACTATTTACAAGTATATATTCTATCTCATGATAAACCAATTGCAGCTCTATTTTATGTGATGTTTTTATTTATAGTATTTTATTTTAAATTTAATTGCCAAAAAGTTTTCAGTATTTCTATTTGTTTTTTCCATTTTTTCATATAAAATATTACGAGTTGTGTGTTTATTTAATCTTTTTTATACCCTGTACCCGAAATGTAAAATGGTTATATTAAGTTTGTGCAAAGTATGTAACAGGAAGAAAGAAGCAACACCAAAGCAAATATATGTATTCTTAGTCAGCATGGCGACAAAAATCAATCTAGATATGTCTGTCTACCTGTGCGTCTGTCTGGATGAACGCCTACATTTTTATCCCCAGACAACTCGAGTTTATTTTATTTTTTTGAGTTTCCAGTTCCCATATAGAATTTCATCCATACTGAACATAATTCCAAAGCTACATATGTACTTTGTTTAAAATTTCATCCAAATCAGTCAATTCAAAGAAAAGTTACTAGCAAAACAATTGCAATCCTGCTGGCTCCGGCGTTCTAATTATTTTTGCTTCTGTGGGTACAGGGTATTTCACTGTCGGGGTTCCTTCTTCTTTAGATTTGTATTTTTGTCTCGTGTTACTTATATTGAGCTTAGTTACTATAATTAGATATATAGTATAATTAATGTACAATCATTTACAGAGTTGAAAGATTTAATATATTTAATTTTTAATAAGACTTAAATGCAATGTTGCATTTTTGTTGTGGTTTTATTTTTGCTTGTGCAACTTTGTTTTCTTTTCATATACTTGTACTTACTTTAAGGAAGGAACCTCTTTATGATACATCATTCTTTAAATTGTTGCTGTAATTGTGTTGTATTTTTAATCAAAAATTATATTGCATATATTAGCGATGTCTTTGTTCACTAAAAAATATGGCCAAGCTGCTGACATTAAAAAAATCAATAATTTATATTTTAAGTCTCTAACTAAGGAAGAGGTGCGGAAAAGGATTCGATTATATATTCGTTTTACCGGTCTCCATAAAAATTTTAAACTAATTACTTCTGACCTTTTTTATTGCGTTGAGCTATAGCTACAATTACACAAAACAAATACAGAAATACCTATACAGTAGCTAGCATTAAAAAATATTGTAAAAACATCCAATTCGTTACACTTCAATCGACATCTCCCGTCATTAAAATTTAGTGTGTCAGATGAATATCGAAATATTGCTTTATGTGAATTATGGAATAATGGAAATAATAATTGCAAATTCTCTTTCTATTGCACAATTGTTTATGTTAATCAATATTGATTTATTAATTTTGTATTAAACCAGCTAATGTCCCTCTTTTTTTTATTGGTCGAGGTTGACATGGCATTGAAATATTCATGTACAATTTAAGCGCAACGTTTACAGTTTAATCAAAGAATGGAACTATGCGTCTTTATTTGAAGGAAGAGAGAATGGCAAATGATCAATTTATTGATCCAATATTAGTTGGCATCAACTTTTTTAAGTCGGCATATGTTCATTTCAATTCGTTTTGGCAACGCAGGACCTACAATCCTAAGTAGTTGACTACCTAGCCTAGCCTAGACACAAACCACAACGGATATAGCCACCAACTAGACATACTTAAAGACTATCTAAAGAATTACAAGTTGTTGCAACTTACACGCAGCTCTCTTGCTGCGAATACATGAGAGGCGTACGCACGGTGACAATCTCTCGAGAATATGACTTTCCGACTCCCGAGAGACCGGAGAGCGAGCTACTTGGGCTTGTTACAGCAGCCGTCGAGGCCAAGCCGCTACTGTTGCTGGATCCAAGCATTTGGCCATGCTGCTGTTGTTGCTGTTGCTGATGCTGCTGGTACGATGGTGGCATCGGTAGATTGCTGTGCCCATGGTGATTAAACTGTTGCTGCTGCTGTTGAGCTGCTGCGGCAGCCATCATCTGCATCATGGAGGCGGAGTTGTGTGGCATCTGCTCCATCTGATGATGGTTGTGCGGCAGCGTGTGGTAACCTCCCGGATGTGAGGGTAACGTATACATTTGCACAGTGCCCGGCGACACCGTAGATGGCGTGCCGTGCGATCCGGGCGATGAGATGCATGGTGGAAAGCTGGCTGCAGCATTGGCGGCCATTGTGTCCACACTGATAGCCGCTCCGCACGCACCAGCGCTCCTGGTCTTGTATGCATCGATTTGCGCATATATCGTAGGCTCTTCAAAGTAATCGTATGCGGCATGCTGCATGCCCACTCCCACGCCAACGCCAACGCCTGCTCCCGCACCCGCATTGGAGTTGGGTTTGTGACGCTGCAGCGTTGCTGTAGTGGGTATGTTAGGCAGCAGTTTTCGCATGCTGGCTCCATGCGGCAAGGTACCACCAATAATGGGTTGCCCAGTGCTTTGCAATAACAGCTGTGCACAGTCCTGCGTCTTTTTAAGAGTGGCTGACGCTGTTGAGCTGGCTGCAGAAGCACCGGCTGCTGTGGCAGCAGCACTTGTCAATGCCAGCTCGGCGTAGTGCAGTTCATCGTCCTGTGCGAAATATAAGAATACAAGTGTCAACCGCCTGTTAACATAAGTGAACGCCATTTGAATTCGCTTTCTTTAAATATGCATAATTTTGACACCTGCCAGGCGACGCCATCTGAGTAGGGTGTTCTTAAATCTGCAGAGGCAATTAATGCAAAATAATTTTGAAGCTCGAAGTTCGAAATAAACATTCAATTTCATTGTAAAACAAAGTAATTAAAACTTTTCCTTTATTGTCTACTTCCGCGAAGTTCAGACAGAGACTCCAATGCGTTAACGTCGCCAACTTTGATACACTCAAAAAAAAAAAAAAAACGAATAGCACAAATGAATATTTCGTAATTAAATCAAAAACAAACAACGTAAATGTAGTTAAAAACGTATTCAATAACTGATTTAAACATGAATAATATTCCAAAACACTGTGTATATCTTGATCACTATATTATACTTTAATACGCACTCACTTTAAACAACAAATATATATATATATATATATATATATATATATATATTATCAACTGTTAATATTTTCTATAACAAAATGCACTTAAAAAAATTACAACTTTTTTAAACTAAGTTGTTTATATGATTAAATTAATAAAAATAAAATAAAATAAAGTAAAATAAAGATGTATTAACACATATGTTTATGTACTGTTTCAATAGCAGGCAGTTACACCTACGTGTGCAGTACTGATGTGAGGTATAGAGCAAGTACAATAATAGCTGCCGGAAGAAATTACATTTAACTATGGCTTTAACTTTCTTAAAAATTCAGGGTAGAGGTCAGATGAGCACTAATTCAACATTATTACCGAATTTACATAAAGAATTCAAGAATTACGGAATGGAAAATAGCTAATAGCGGAGAATTCTAATACTTTCTGAAATCCTTGCGTTCATACCGACAAACAGACAGGCAGACAGACAAACGAACATGGTTATATCGGATGGTTATATAAATTTGTGTTTATAAAATATATAGAAATAATTAGCATGTACGAAATATCATCATTAAAAATAATTAATACAGCTGGTAGAGTCGAACAATAGGTGGCACAAATAATATAATAATTTATAATTTAAAAAAAAAGAAAGCTTTATAGTGGATCAACCCATGATTTAATAGCTTTACAATTTTAAATCACTTTGTTTATATTAAAATCGAAATGAAAATGTGCACACATTATTTTTATTAAAACACACTCGATAGTTATAATGTTTAAACCTAATTAAAGTGTGTTCTTTTTTATATTAAATCGAAATGGCACTTTTACTCTTATTAAAACACACTCAATGGTAAAAATATGTAAATCTAATTAATGTGTGCTTTTTTTTTTAGTGTAGGAAAATTGTCAACTTACCTTGCTACTCTGATAGGCCCCGCTGTCTGCGGAGCTGCCAGCACCGGGAACGCCAGGAACGACGGACACGCCGGCCCCAATGCTCCCGCCACCACTGCTCCCACCCATTGCAGATGCTGGCTTGCAACTGATTTCCGCTTCGCTGGTTGTCGAAAGATGTCCCGATGGCGTTTGTGTTGCTGATTTTTGTTTATATTCACCATCAACTGTCATTTTTGGCATTTTCCATTTCAGCGAAGAGATATAGAAGTTGTGTGAAGCAGGAAGAGAAAAAGATGAAGGGGAAGAAAGTGGCTGTTAAGCTTAGTTAGCGAAAAATTGAGTTCTTGCTCTTATTTCTTCTTTGCTTGCGCTTGTTGTTGTTAAGTAGAACAGGCCAAACTTTTGGGAAAAATTCTTGGCCAAAGTTAGGTGGCATGTATGTGTGGGGGACTGAACGTTTAATTTTCTTGACAATGAAATTGCTTCACGTTAAGAAAATTGACCAGATTGTTCAGTTTAGTTTTAGCTGCAGCTTGATGTTTTGATTACCAATAATCAGCATGTTGCGGAAAAATGGTTAAGATATGGTGTACTAAACGATTTGGTGTTTTCAGCTTCATGCGGGAAGTTTCAAAGTGTATGGATATCAATACAGCTTAATTCACGTGCAGCACTCTTTAATCGCTATTAGCCTTAAATTGTTCGACTTTAACATAAAACCGCTTTTAAGGTAAGTGGTCTATTCCGAGACTAACTCTTCTCGCACTCGTTGATCTTCAGACACTTAAACAAACATACTTGCTTTTGGATCCGAAAGTGCCTGAATGGCAGTAAAGGCAGCACAGCGACTGTAATTAGCTGTCATTTAAATATTTCAACACCCAGTGCAAAAATACTAGCCGGGCTCAGTATAATCTATTTGACTGGCAATGGGGCAGCGTTGAGCTGGGACACTCGACCATTTGCCCGACAGTCATGTCTGTTGTGCGTTGGGTGACTGGTGTGTTTGTTTTGTTTGTAGACCTCTCTCATGTGTGTGGGCTTGTGTTTGTTTGGCTGTTTGCTTGTCAAATGCATTTGCATAAAGCTAGCATCTAGCCGGTAGTTATAAATTTCCAAGCACACGCACGGACCTCCCAGAACATTCATCTTTAAGCGACCAACTCACCTTCATTGTATGGCACCACATCCGGATTTTTCTCATCGTACATCTCCTCGGAATGACTTAATGGCAACGAGATTTTATCCTTAATTTGTAAATTGCCAGGTCGTGAGAATTTTGCATTTTGGTGTTGATATTTTTGCTGCTGTTGATGCTTATGCGAGCGCAGTTTTAGTGCGGCTATAGTTCCAATGCCGATGCATACGAGGGCCACAAGAATGCCCACGAATATACCAATAGAGAGTATGGGGGTGAGCTCAAAGCTGCTCGTGCCTTGAGAGCTGCCCTTGAAGGAGGTCAGTGCAACTGATAAACAAAGAGAATGTGCATGAGATATGATTTATATACTTCAGCCAATTATAAGAAGTGTATGTCACAAAGGTCGCACATTATCCTCATGCTACAGTTCAAAATAGGCTTTCAAATGTTAATTTGTCTTATTTGTCAAACTCTTTTTCATTTTTCCTGCTCCTGCTGCTACTTCATAAAAAATTTAAATGCTGGCAAAACGGTGACGGCTGAAGTTGTTTACAAAAATTGAGACTGCTGTAGGCCCTTCTCGACATATACATACCTTGCTTCGGTTATCTTCTCTTTCCGTTTCGGCCGTTGCCTTTCTAATTAGCATTACAATTTTGTCTTTACGCCACGCTTCTCACCCCAATCCCCCATTAATGATAATAATTTTACATTTTTTGCGCTTCTTTTGAGGCGCATAAATCACCATTTGCTTTTTGTCGCCTGCATAATTTGTTGCAGCTTGCGCCAAACTTTATGAGCACGTTCAATTTACAATTCATTGAGCAGTTAGCGTAATTAAATGTTGAGCGCATTAACAAGAGAAAAAATTAACGTCTTTAATAAGCACCGGAAAATTCGTCATGCAAAGCATTGCGCGGGTCCCAGTCCAGTCAACAATACTCGCCAAATATGCAAACAAAGCGCCTTAAGATTAACGAATAAACGTATAGGCAAGTAAACCATTTGCATAAAAAATTCATAAAAGGCATAAACGCGCAAATATGCCACGCTCTTCATAAATATAAGAATGCATTTAAAATTCATAACTCAAAGACTTATGACCCGGACATATTTTAACTTTTGCACGCAGAACTAAACAAAAATATGCCTAAATAGCTTAGTACTGTCCCCAACTGAACTACCTACTCACCTGTTTGTTTTTCGGCCGCTTTAAGCGTATATCCGTCGACAACTGCCGCATCGCTTCGACCACGAGCGTTCACGGCATATATATAAATGCGAAACATACGACCCGCATCCAATCCCGCAACGCTGAGTACCGCGAACTTGGCACTTATGTTGGCCTGTAAAATACCATTGTGCTGATCGTAGATTTCCATGAAGAACCATTGGCGCAAGCCGCCATCGAACCCTGAATACAAAATAAAAGAAGACAATGTTGATTGAATAACTTGATGAAAAGTTTTTGTGCTGCTTAGCATATTTGCTTAATAAATGCCAAGGTGACATTTATATCCTTATATAAGTACAGATATTAATGTTAAGTAGATAATTGGGCTTTTAAACATTTCATTCGAATGAAAATCTCATTCTTGGAATAACAAAGAGTTTAGGAATTCGCAAAGAAATATTCTATGCTTGGTTTTTCTATTTAAGCAAATATATATACTTTCGCACTGCAAATGGGGCTCAATCGTTTTCCACACGGCTTTAAGTCATTAACAATTTACGCATAGCGCTAAAATAATTAAAACTTATCTAGAACACAATTGCAAGAAAGGCTAGGCAGTCCCAACCCTTGTCCCAGCTCTGGCCCTAAGCCTAACCCTAAGCCCCCAAAGAAACGCGAGCACGTGCGAACCGAACAAACATTTTCAAAGTAATCCGAAGCAACATTTTAAATGCCATTTAATAATACCACAAAAGAACTGGCGCTGGCTCCTACTTCGGTGGCGCGACGAGTGGCTAGCAACTCCCAAAAAAAGCGAGTGGGCTCCATCCAGTTGAAGTTCTCAAGCTTGCCGCTCAAATGGCACTTCATTGTAGACACAAAAGCCGGCTTAAAACACTTGCGAAAAATGTTAAAATATTTTGTAATAAAGGCGGCAACGAGTGGAGATGGGGATGGAGAGTGCTAGAAAGGTTGTCCAGACCCTAGCTCCTCGCCCCTTCCATCAGTAACTACTTGAGTTGAGCGAGCAACAAGAAATTGTTGTGCAAAATGTTTTATATATTCCTATAAAATTTGCTGTCGGTTTTGTTATTTTTGGTCCTTGGCCGGTTCGTTGGTTGGTCCGTTGGTCGGTGGGTTGGTCGGTCGGTGGATTGCTCCGGACAAAGGCACGGAAATAGAGTCAAAAGAATGTGCTTGGCCTTTGCTTCAAAGACCTTTGTTCAGCTCTCGTGGTGCTTACTCATTGTTTGAACGACTTTGTTTGTTGTTGCTGGTGTATGTGTGGTATGGTGAGTGTGTGTTGTATGTGTGTGCGGCCATTTTGTGCGCACTTTAAAGCGTTTAGGTAATTAAATTTGCTACTGCGTCAGCGGTCATGGCAACTACACAAAACTTCATTGTAATGGGTTAATTTTATTTACTTGGCTCGTCAGCTCGCCTTCTCCTCCTGTCTACAACGAAAATTGTGCAAGTGGAGTAAAAATAATAAAGCAAAAGCAGCCGCCACAGTGGCTAAAAAGGCAACAAAAAAGAAAGAAAACAAGAGAGAACGCTACAGTCGAGCAAGCCCGACAGTGTAATACCCTGTACCCAGGTAAACTTCCGTCACTGAGTTATATGCGCCCATAGCAGCAGCAAAAAGAGGAAGAAGAAGAGCGAACTTGTTGCTGCAGTTTGGAGGGGTTGTACTGGCGAGAATTTGTTTCGCTAATAACTTTTCTTAAAATTGACCGAATTGAATAAAATTTTGAACAACAGTAGACAATTATATATAAATTATGTGTGCAAAGTTTGGTTTAGGTAGCATTTGAAATGTAGACGCTATTGACGAAATTCTGTAGCGGGGGAAGGGGGGGAAAATTCCAAAAAATAAAATAAACTCGTCCTTACTCGGACCTAGGAGAATCTGGATGCCAACTTTGGTTATTCTAGCTTTTATAGTTTCTGAGATCCTCGCGTTCATCCAGACGGACGGACGGACAGACGGACAGACGGACAGACGGACGGACATGTCTAGATCGATTTCTCTCGTCATGCTGATCAAGAATATATATACTTTATGGGGTCGGAGATGCTTCCTTCTGTATGTTACATACTTTGCACAAACCTAATATACCCTTTTTACCCTACGGGTACAGGGTATAAAAATACAAGTAGCGGGAAAAATTTTATAAAATGAAATTTTATTATATTAAACCGACGCTTGATGAGTTGGTTAGTTCCTCGCTTTTTCCTGCCAGCCTGCTCCTACACTTCTGCCTCTTTTAGTCTCAGCCGTAGCCCCAGAATTTGCTTTCCGTTGTTGTTTTGTTTTGTGGGAAGAAAGTTGCAGTTACCCCGAAGTTATCTTCAAGTTCTGTGCATTGAATTCAATTGAGTCGAGGTCGAGTCTCTGTCGTCACCATCACCGTCGCCGTTCTCAGAGTTGGAGTCAGGCTAAGTGGCCAACTTGCGTGCTGGCTTATTAAAGTCGAACGACCGCAGCTAAAGTTGAGTTATATTATAAAAATAAGCAACTACAGCGTGCTGTTGCAAACATTCGGGATGAGGTTTGGTTTTGGTATGCGGCCTTAATGTTAAGTGCAATATAAAAAGGGAGGGTGTGCTGAGATTTTGTTGTTGTTGCTATTTCTGTACTTAAGCAAGTTACTATAAAGTTTTAATGATGCCGATGACTATGATAATAATGCGCAGCTACTAAATTAGTGCAGACACAGACAAGCAGAGAAAGGCAGGGAGCTGTTTGATAGCTATGGGTTGTATGGACAACAATACAAAGAGAATGTCGGAGCACACAATTGGCCTTTAAAGTTTAGCTCGACTCCAGTATTGTGCCAATCCCAAATCTCCTACATGTGTGCCTATGCCCAGTGAAGATTAATATTATAAGGTGTCATAGGACCAATTAAATATTTAATGGGTATACACTCTTGAAATTGAATTTGACCTGGTCGATATTCGTTAATTTATTTTTCTTTCTCAATTACTTATCGCGTAGGGTTAAAGTGTATTTGCCCATAAGCCACAAGGTTCTTATATATATTCTTGTCACTTTGTCGCATCGAGTCAACACAACATAATTGTCTACCGACAACTTTGTATTATCTGGACGATCATATTCATGATCAGACCTATTACTCATTGCTGCAAACGTCCACTCGGAACATGTGGATTGGCAGCGAATGGGAGCAACTTAGGACTATATAATATAGCCAAGCTCAAAACGTTCTTATAGTCGTTCCCATACTCGTATTTATGTATCTACACAACAAGTAGTTTGCATAAACAGCAGTAAGAACGCAGTTGATATTATGCGCTCTTTGTTGCACTTGCTGCCTCGTTATGCCGCCATTGCGCTTTGCTTTGCGCTCGAGAATTTTAAGAACTGCATAAATGTGCGAGTATGTCGGCAGTTGCGGCCCTGTCTTTATTTCCGTGGAATGACATTTATGTGTCTCTCTAATATGCAACTGTGTCTTCTGCCCCCACTTCATCTGGCAATGACGCAGCGCTGCAATTTGTGCTGCTTATTTTGCGCTTTGCTGGCATTCGCTTTTGCCCTCGTAACTTTCTTTTCATTTCTTCTGCATTTTGTTCCGCATAAAATATGCGAATTGAATTTGTATTTAAAGTTTGTTGCCATTTTGTTTCGCCTGACGTTTGGCGCCTGTCCTTATCCTTGGTTCCTCTCCACTCATCCTTCGCTGGCATCTCTTTGACTGGAAACTTCATAACAAGCCAAAACATTTTGTATGTACAAATTTGCGCTTAACTTTTTGCATTTTGCTGCTGCTCAAGCCAACGCCAACGCCGCCGCCACCGCTGCTGACTTCGTTTCTATTGCTACTCCGCTTCATGCTTTTACTTTATTTATTACTGTGAAATTTAAAAGAGCAACTGAAATTGAACGCGCTCAAATTTAGCAGTGGGTCTTCATTTTGCGTTTTTTAACTTTTATTTTAGCCATACGAGTACATGTATCTAAAGCCTTTTATGTTGCTCTATAGATGTTGCTCTGTTTCCTTTCTAGTATTATGCTTTCATTGCATTTTTATTATTTTGCTGCATGTTTCTTCAAGGAAGTTGCTGTGCTTTATGAACCATACACACATCCACTCACAGCTGACTGCCAAAGTGCACTTAAGTTGCTCATGTATTTTAAATGAGTCTGAAAAGCGTTGAGGGAAACTTAACATATATATACATATACGAGTGTTCAACTTGTCTGGCGGACTCTGCACTATTTAAAAAGAATTTGTTGGCTACTTAAGTTGAATTGACTTCAGAGCGTTGATTGGCTCATCAGAAACTTATAACTTCGATTATTGAATACCAAATATTGCCCAAGACGAACTCACCTTCGATACAATAAACTTCCAATGAGTCGGATGTTTGATTGACCACTGTACAGTTGGATGGAGTCTCCGGCTTGCCTGCAGCTATCAAATGAAAGACGCAAGGTTCTTTCTGTTGGCCCACATTGTTATCAGCCCAACACATAATGGTGCCAAAGTCCATTTCCTGTAACAGATAGGATGAAATAATGAACTTGTTGCAGTTATCAAAAAGTACTGCAATGAAACTATTAAAAAGTCCTCTGAAAAGAATTCAAATATAGTCGCTTGTTATTCCACAATTTATTGACCAAACAAGAGAGAACGATACAGTCGTGCAAGCCCGACAGTAAAATACCCTCTACCCAGACAAACTTCCGGCACTGATTTATATGCGCCCATAGCAGAATCAAAAATAATAAGAGAGAACTTGGTGCAGCAGCTTGTAGGCATATTGTGAGTGAAATTGTTTCGCTAAAACTAGTTCTTAAAAATTACAGATTTGAATGAAATTCCAAACAAATGTAGATAATTATATATAGATTATGTGTGCAAAGTTTCGTTTATGTATTTTTTAAAATGTGTACAGTATTGACAAAATTCTGTAGCGGGGAAAAAAATAATAATAATAATAAACCCCTCCTTTCTCGGGCGTAGGAGAATCTGGATACCTACTTTGGTTATTCCAGCTTTTATGGGTTTGAGATCCTTGCGACCCTTCATCTAGACGGACAGACGGACGAACGGACAGACATCATAAACTTAAAGGAGTTGGTATATAAATTTAAAGTTCTGGTTGAGGCTTACATTTTTAATCTGTTAATTACTATCGGTACCGCGAATCAAGGTAGCTAATAAAAGTGTTTTAGTTACCAATTTATCAATATTGTCAATGGATGTAAGATTCTAAATCAGCTATTGGACTATTTCTACCAGGTCTGTTCACTCTACATATTCTTATAGTATTTTCAGTCAATTAATAAATGTTAAACTTTATTGACGGTGATGATGGGCGTTAACATCATTTCCTCCGTGGCTTAAATCACATGAAATATAAAATCAACTCATTTTCAATGCACTTTTGCGATTTTCGCATGAGTGCATTTAATTAACATATGACCTTTTTAACAGTTGACTGCATCGTATCTGCTTGATTTGGTATGGAAAGTAGGATATGTGCCATTAAAGCAACTAATTATAATTGATTATATTTATTTAACACGAGGGCACACCACAAGCATTTTCCGACATCGTCATTTTCGCCCAGTTTTCGCTCTTACCAAATTGACATTTCCTAACTTAACAGTGACAACAACACTAACCCCCCAACGTTGTTGCCAAAGCGCTTGTTGTTGCTGTTTCTGCAGTGAATAATGTGACACCAACATCAACTCAATTCATTATATAAACACAGTAATGTCGTTAAAGTAGAACGCGGCGTATGCGTAATTTTGTTACTAGGCCCATGTGCGCGCAATGCGCGTGTGCTTGTGTATGTTTGTGTATGTGTGCAACTGATTGATTGAGGCTGTCAATAAGTTTTTCATTAATATAATTTCATGTCAATGAGAGCACATACGCGCACACATATACAAATATATAGAGTCACACAGGCAACCAAAACAATGCCTGGAAGTAAAAACAAATGAAGCGTAGCTGCTTTTTTATTTACGCTCGTGGTCCTGAGGCAGACACATGCAAAAAAAAAAAAAAATATCAAAAAGAAACAGACAAAACAAAAAGAACTATGTTAACATGGCTTTAATACATGGTTGGCTGGCTAGCACCTCCTCCGCGCCCAACCATGTGGATGCTTGCCTTCGGCTTTCTTTCTGTGTGTGTCTTTTGCTAAGTGGCTGCCTGCGGGCCCATTGTTTGCTTATTTATTTGTTTGCATTTTACCCAATATGTCGGCGACAGCGCCGGCGCTTTGCTGATGAAGTCCTATGTAGGCTACGGTCAAGTGGACAGCAATCCAGGCAATTGATTTATTTATGCAGGCAGGAACGCACCAACAGATGATCAAAAAACTCGACTATATTCCTTATTCAACTTGTCACCTGTAATTTTTTGTACGCATTTGTCTTCCAGAGATAATTTCTGCCGTTGTTTTAGCTGTTTATGTTTCGGGCTTAGACTAGAAAAATCACTGCACTTAATCAGATACATTTCCAAGCTAGTAACGAGTAACGCACAACATGCGAAAGTATAACTCCCGTTATACCTAGTTGGTTTAGTTGAAACTGCTGCTACTGTCAGTGCCACTTCCTGAACTCATTAAAAATTAAAATCACTTGCCGTTCGCAAAATGTCAACACAAATGACTGCTTATTTATCAGTCAGGGAGCGTTTGCAAAGCTAGCAAGTCAAACTGGTAGCGCGCTTGTCATTTTAATTAAGGCCAGAAAGAAAAACAAAAACAGCAACGGCAATGGCAACAATAACAACAGCAATAAAAGTAAGAGTAACAAAACTTTGCCGCACTGAAAATGCTTTAAAATAACACCAAGGAAGTTCCAAATGAAAGTCAGTCAGTAGAAGTTACAGCCTGTATATATTTATTCTACTGTTTGCTCTTATTTACAAGTTATTTGTGCAAGACTTTTGTAAAAGTTAACTGAAAGAGTAGAAAATTGGAAGCAAGACACATCGAACCGATGGTTGTTTCAAGTTCATATGCCTTGCAAATGGCAATTTATAGATTTAAGCATGGTAACAAAAATGCTTTAAGGAGTTGTCAAATAAATGCCTAAATTTCAAGCCGTGCAAAATATACTTATAATTATACCCTATTCCCGTAGGGTAAAAAGGGTATATTAGGTTTGTGCACAATGTAACCGGCAGAAGGAAGCATCTCCGACCCCATAAAGCTTATATATTATAAATCAGCATGACGAGAGAAATCGATCTATCTGTCCGTCCGTCAGTCTGTCCGTCCGTCTGTCTGGATAAACGCACGGATCTCAGAAACTATAAATGTTGGTTCTCCTAGGTCCGAGAAATGTTTTTTTATTTTTTGGAATTTCTCCCCCCTTTCCCCGCTAAAGAATTTCGTTAATACCGTCCACATTTCAAAAGCTACCTTAACCAAACTTTTCACACATAATTTATACATAATAATCTACTTTTGGATCAAATTTCATTTAAATCGGTAAATTCTAATAAAAGTTCACTTCGGTACTACGCCAACAAGCTGCAATATCAAGTTCGCCCTTCTTCTTCCTCTTACTTCTTCTAAAGGCGCATATACCGTATCGGAATTATCGGAAGTTTATCTGGGTACAGGGTATTTCACTGTCGGGCTTGCTCGACTGTAGCGTTCTCTCTTGTTGTATTTTTAATTGTAGGTGTTTATGTGTAGCGAGTATACCATGAGAGGTCGCACTTTGGTTAGCCCGTCTGATGTAGGTGTATACCAGATGCAATCAAACAAAGAAGCAGATAAAAAGATGCTGCTACTTTTCTCGCCTATGTATTTTAAGCTTAAACACTGTTTTAGTTGCCGACATACGTATTTATGAACATATGTATGTGTGTATGTACATATTTTATTTTTCATTCAAGCGCTGTCTACCTACTTATGTATATATGCGTGTATAGTATGTATTCATTGCATTTCAAAACTATTATGTCTTTTCATTTGCGGGAGCTGAAAATGTAACAGACAGAAGGAGGCGTGGCAGACCCCACAAAGTATATATATTCTTGATCAGCATGACGAGACGAGTCGATCTAGCCCTGCCTGTCCGTCTGTACGTTTGTCCGTCTGTCAGTCTGTCAGTCTGTCCGTATGAACACCTGGATCTCAGAGACTATAAGAGCTAGAGACACCAAATTTTGCACAAAGATGCCCTATGTGTGTACGCTGTGCAAGTTTGTTTTATTTTTTTGATTTTCTCCCCATTTTCCCCCCTATGGGGGTTTCCCGATTTTCCATTCGTATAATCGCCTATATCTCGGAGACTATAAGACCTAGGGACAATTTTAGTCTCAGATGCCTTATGTGAATACGCAGAAAATGCCATATATATATATATATATATATATATATATATATATATATATATAATTGAGCAATGTATAAATGTGTAATTTAGCAAAAGTTGTATTCATGCAAATATATTATGGATTTATGTTAAATTAAAACACATTTCACAAGGTGTTGTTACAAAGGCGGCCAATTTGGCAGCTGACAACACTGAACATCAACACCTACAGAGCTATGAAAAACAATTACAATAATAATAATAATTTAGCCAGCTGCTGTGCAACCGCAAGCAAATGGCACACGCCCAAGCAGCCGACAGTAACATCTTGAGTGCAGTGTGCGTATACGTAATATTTTACAAACCCACAAATTTATGCAACTGTCAAGACGATGCTTAGTAATTTGCGAAGCAAAATAAAACGAAAATGGGGTTCACAACTACTAACATAAACAATAGCGTTTGTTGCAACGACAACAACTGATGTAACTTACACGCATACAATCATATACTCGTGTTCATATATGGCAGACGTAACAGCTAGTATTTTTGCAGCATTTTCAATTTGGTTGCTTTAAGGGTGCACTCTCCAAGACATACATTTACACCAAGTATTTATTTTCATTACATTATTTTGTTTTTATTATATTAATGTTGCCGGTTGACGTTCAACAGAGCGTAAATATTATTACAGTTGCTATAGCAATTCCAGAGGAACAAAAACTACATATTGCTTAAACATAATGTCCATGTCGCACTTGTTGTTTTTAGTGACTTTTCTGGTATCCAGCGTCTGTGCTGGAAATTGTGACAGAAAACAATGCAAGTGAGTGACACACATATGCATGTACATAGAAGAGGCTTAGAAGCGCACATACTCGCATATATATGTACGTGTATATGAGGCATGGCAAAGTGTCGTGTTTACTGCTATTTATATTCCATTTTTCATAACTGCATTTTATATATTTTCTTTGGCCAGTGCTCAACTAATTTTGAACTGTTGGCTGCTAGTTGTTGACAGCCACGCACACAAATATTATTTATGCATTTTAATTAAAATTTTAACATTTAAGTGACACCTAAATGAGTTTACCACAACAATAGCTAGCATTCAGGAAATATTACAGCAATATTAACACTTTTGATGGCAAGTTCATAAACTTTTTAGCTACAACACTGTGCGTTTAAGGCAAATGTCAGGCGCAGTCAATGTAAGCGGAAATTACTGCAAAGAAGATGACATGAAAGCAACCGAAATGAAGACGAAGCAACAGTAGATCGAAAACTCTTGGCAGCCACTGACATATACAGCACCACACAGGCACTGACATAAGTGGTGCCAACGCCCACACCATCGAAATGCGTCTGGGCACAAAACAAAATTAATGAGCTGTTGGATGTCGACTGCCGGTTGCCGCTTTGAGCACAAATCACTCAACAAAAATAAATAGCGCACGAAAAAAAATTGCATAGAAAATCAGCAAAGGAAAATCAGCCAAAACCACCGTCCGTTTAAACTTGGGTTCTGGCAGTCAGACCAGGAAACAGGAAACAGCATATATGACAACAGAACGGAAGGGATTTTTCATATTCAATTGGGGTAAATGATTTATGTGTGCTTCAGAGTGGGCGTGGTTGTGTGTGTGGTTATTAAATACGAATAAGTATAGTCGAGAATGTATGTTGCTTTGTGGCAATGCCTACTCCAATCAGTGCCAAAAGGATTTTGATTCGTCTGCTGCGGGTGTTGAACTTATTTGAATGTGCTTTAGTAGCATGTGGGTGTGCAAGCAAAATCTAAGCTGCAGCTCCGTGCACCTTCTTTGCCCACGCCTTTGGGTTACTATTTGTTGTACTATCAGAATAACCGCTAAAACTTAAGGCCATTATCATAAAAAGAATAAACCAAAACATATCAACATATTTGGTAAAAAAAATGTATTTAAGGCCCTCAATTACTTCTTTTATATTTATGATATTGCTTGATAGAACAACTGACGAGATAAATTTCATAATGTTCCCGATATACAAGTATACATATTTACCTTGCTACACTTAAATTGAAAATTATTTCAAAATCAGAAGATCTTTTCTGGAATCTACAGATGTGTACACATCTCAAAGTACTTGTAGTATGTTTTTTCAAGGCTATATTAGGTTCGTGCAAGGTATCTACAAATGTGTACACATCTCAAAGTAGTGCGTTTTTTAAAGGCTATATTAGGTTCGTGCAAGGTATTTAACAGGCAAGAGGAAGCATATCACTAGCTAACACGAGTTTATACAGAATTTCGTAGATTCTGTCCATATATCAAAAGCTACATAAAGCAAACTTTGCACACTTAATCTATATACAACTATCTAATTTGTTTCAAAATTTGTCCAAATCGCTCAATTCTAAAAAAAAAGTTAGTAACAATACAATTTCACTTTTCACAAGCTGCATTACCAAGTTCGTTCTTATTCTTCCAACTGTTTTCTTATTCGTATAACTCAGTGCCGGAATTTGGTCTGGGTACAGGGTATTTCACTGTCGGACTTTTTTTGGCTGTAGTATAGAATAAAACATTTTCAATGGCTTTGTTTTCTTCTGCATTTATTTCTTTAGCAGGGTAAAATTCACTCACCAGCAAAATTGGTTTGCATGCCTTATGAAATGAATATGAGATGGCAATTAGAAAATCTTGCATGCCTTGTGAAATGAATATGAGCTGGCAATTGGAAAATTTTGCCCGTGTCAGTTCAAATTCTAGTACTCATTGATAGCGAATTGGTTGGACCATTTGCAACGGTCATTGCATTATTTTTGGCGGCCCAAAATGAAATGATGAATATACGATGGCAGTGTGTGCGAAAATTGATACCAATTGGTGCCGTGAGCTGATGGCCAATTGTGTAGCAGATCCAAAGTATACTCGTATCTTACTACTCTTGCTGCTGCTATCACAGAATAGTTGTAATTGGCCATGGTTACGCATAGCTAGCCCGTTTTACTGGTCCCATTTACATTTATAATTGTACAGTATTTGTATTAATTTTTCATGTTACTGGTAATTTTTCAACAACCCCAATTGCCACGCTGGACACTATTAAAGGAAATTCTGTAGATTTTCTAGCTACAACTTTAATATATTCACTACTATTTGACATTTGACTGAATTTGTATTTGTTGCTGTCACTGTTGCTCTGCTATAGCTATTTGCTTTTTGTTTGGTTGTTGCCTTTACTTTTTAATTAGAAACCAGCGTTAACAGAATTTTTAATTAAAATTGCTTTCTGGCAAGTTTGCTTGGCTGTCTGGATAATTGAATGAAGCCCATTACTTGCATGGTGTGTGTCCGATTGTGTGTGTGCTGTTTTTACAATTTTCTTGACAGCGTGACAACAACACACGCACATGTACAGCAGCCTATTAATTAAAATTTTGTCATTTAATGTAGATGCACAAGCACTGTGGCAACAACAAAGCAATGGCAGTTACATGCTCTCGCTTTAGCTACAAATCTACCAGCCTGCCCACACCTTACCCCTCACCCTATCTAAAACTCACGCACATAAACACAACGCAAATGTCAAATGTGTCAATAACAATATCATGTCAAAAAACATGAAATGAAAATTTTATATAGTACGTCACCCCAAACCACAAAATCTTTAACCAAATGAAAATCAATTCCAAGCACGCCCACAACAAAAATGTCGCGCCACTTTCCCCAGACCCGATTCATAATGTGAAGCACTTAACCCGGAGCGCCAGCTCAAAATTATTTATCGGGCGAGTGTCAAGTGCCGTGTGTGTATCACGCATGTTTGTCATTTGTAGTTTGTCATTTTAATAATGCGACAACGTCCATGTCGTGGCATTTATCGCAACGGCCGAATCGGCCTACCGCACCGCCCTGCATTCAATTAGGTCACGCAAATATCAATAGAGATGATTGATATTTTTTCAGTCCGGAGTCGCTGGATTCAAACTCAGTTGCAATGGTTGCTTACCTTAACCGGCGTATATGTTAGCGTAGAACCCTGTGCTGAGTGTGGTCTAAAGCCACTTTGAGGCATATCAAAAGTCTCAGCGGTGTTGTTGAATGACCACTTGAAGTTCTCTGGCGGTGGGAAGGCATCCACTTCGCAAATGATTTCGGCAGCTTCGTTGCGGGCCACACCGTAGATTTTCTTTTGATCCGGCCGGCAAATTGGCTTATCTGGAAGCATAGGAGTTGTGAAGTTGCATTACAAACTTTGATTTTTCAAGTGCATTTTGGTGTTTGGTTCGCTTTTTGTACTGCCGTTTCAATAAGTGCAGTGAGTGACGTAATGCAATCAGGAAATTCAGCCTGCCCTCTTCGCATGAGTAAGCAAACACGCCCAGATCAAAATTGGTCGGGAGAAAAAGAGCTGGCATACCAAAAACCGCACTCAAATCCTAAGTAGAAAAGTTTTTAGGAACAAGCAAAAAGCCCTAGCAGAGTCTACCGTGCTCCTCGACATCGTTCACGTTGCTGTTGTCCATTCAAGCAACTAACTAAACAGACACAGATTCAGATTCAGAGAGCAAGACGAACGGTAAAGCCGAACAGTAGTGGCCAGCAAAAACAAAAACAAAATGCATTGCAAAACAAAGCTCGGCAAAAACTGGTCAAATGTTAAGTGAAAGAAAAACTTCGACACAAAGTTTTGCAATGGGAGGAGCAGTCTGCGCTCGGTCGGAACAACAACAGCAAGAGAAAATTCAATTTCTTTTAATCCTTGCCAGTAAATTCTGCCACTCTTTTTTTGCCGTCTGTATGTGGAAATGGGTAAGGGTATAAATGTTGTTTGTTGTTATAGTTGCAGAGCCGGCAGATGTAAGTAAAAGTTGCAAATTTTAACAAGAAAATGTATTGTAGCAGCTGACAACTGTCGATATTGGCTTGCGGAATGGCCACGATAAGTCCAAAGCTAAAAGCAAGCTGTAAACAAATTTGTAAAAGCAACATAACACAATATCATGGGATTGAGACTTTGCTATGGCTCTCAGATCTGCGTGTTGACAATAAGGTGCCAAAATGTAGCCACACTTATCAAACAAAAAAAAACTCCAATGTACCAAAGCGGAAATTCAATTTAAAACAAAAACGAAGCCACGTTTTAATGTTTTGTTTATGTCCACGAATGTTTGATTAATTTTGATGGTCAAAAATATACAATATTATTGTGATAAAAATAAATATTTCATCTTCTACTTATATTGGTATTATTAATAAGGAATCATACTCGTAAAGCGAGGGCAATAGGTAACAGGAAATTCGAATCATAAAAACCTTACAAGACAGAAATCAAATATCTTCAATGACCTTTGACAGTATATTGCTGGAGCCAAGGCCTGCAAAAGAGGCAGTTATGAAGCGAAATCTGTTTGGCCAGCCCTAATTTGCGCTTTCACTTTTGTGCTGACCTCTTAGTCCAGCCACGGATGCACACTCATATGTGCATAAGCGGTCTGGTCAACATCTCAAGGCACGAAATCAAAGTTGGCATCCACAAAAGTGCACTGTGCGCACTTGAGCGGCAAGTTGAAAGCCACTCCCAATGCACACACACACATTTGGGAATAAGCTCGGGCCACACACAATAACTGGACGTATGCGCAATAAAAGTAACAGTGTAGTGCCTACAAAACCCGTACAATAGAGTCTATGACTATAGCTTGTAGTGTTTGCTGGCTGCTTTTGTTGCTGATCTGTCAACGGTTCACTTCAAAGCGAAAACGGCAACTATTGTGTTGAGAAGTATTCGATTTAAAAGGCTGTTCAGTTGTAGCGTGTACCAAGTTTTTTAAATACTACTAAAGCGAAACAGTCATTTTATGGCACAATAGAAAAGAAAAAGCTACAAAGAAAATTGCTGTCAAAATGCAAATCAAAATAAATGTGATCAGACCTTTAACGATATGCATTACGTTCGCTACGCAATTCGCACCCACACGTAAATAAATACTTGAAAATGCTTTTCCGTTGCGTTGAGGTCCTAAATTGCACACGTGCCTCACCAATTGCTCTCAGCTGACGGTTTGGCCATGTATCGTATTTACGATTACGTGGACATTAAAGTTGCCTACGTATAAAGTATTCTAACCGTACATACGAGTATATGTATTTTCTGATACTCCGTTCTACTTACACATCACTTTCAGCTCGACCACATTGGAGTCCCCATCGCCTTCCACGTTAGAGGCGGTGCATGTGTAGTTGCCGGCCTGGTGCCGCGTGACGCCCTGCAGCGCCAAATCCCCGCTACTTACAATTACGCCAGCGCGCTGATTATGTTGAATTATCTGGTGCTGCAATAAGCCGAATGTACACATACATGTATTAGATAAAACCTGTACCAGTCAAAGCAAAATTGTTTATAATAGACTTAGAGCTAAGAAGTATGAATACATCTGCTTTATTCTTTTTGCACGCTAATTAGCACTTGTTTGTGAGTGTGAGCTGTCATTGTCAAGCATTCCAAGAATAATAGTCACACATATTCACCCATACAATCAAAAGTATAACAGAATGTAAAAATATCATCCTAATTAGAGGTTATTACGCATATTAAGTATACGTCAAGGCAAATGAGCACTGTGTGTTTGAGTAACTATGAACACACATACATCCGTACATAGTATACCTATATGGGTATTTGTATGGGTACATTATTTTTGATGGTAGTTGCGATAAAAACAATGACATCTACAGTCATACCATCCACCACAAAACGACTTAGTCGCACTCTATAGAGTATCTCTAGTTTACCCAATTATAGCGAGAATAATTATTTGCCTGCTAATTAGCTGGTATTTTAGGCTGTTGGCGGTGCGTTAAAGCTTGACTTGTTATTGGTAAGTTACGAATGGCAATAACGGCTCTTTACTCCAATACTTAATAATTAATTAAACTTTTCAAACATACGCACATAGTTACTACCAGATACTGTATTATAACTTGATTTACAAGATCGTGTTATGATTAGCTGAAAATTGCTAAACAGAACTTTAGTGACTACTTTCTGGAACTCGTAGGTCTACTTTCTCTTTATTTCACAGGATTGCGAAATAATTTGATTTAGATTTAACGGCGCTCAGCATAGTCCACTTAGGCTCAAGATCATAGCATTTTATTGGAATTGAGAGTTTAGGAGTTAAATTTACGGTTGAAGAATAACGCGCATATAATAGATATGTATATATGTTTATGCGCGTGCTTATAATACTGCCGTTTCATTAGAGCGCTACGTGTCGGGCATTCTTAACTCAAAATAAGCCAATATTTGCTTAAAGAGCAAATACTAGCACTTGAAATGACGCCGAGCCCTGGTTATCGACACACATGCACAGGCACTCGCGCATACGGGCAAGCGCTTGACCTCTTTACCGCTTTCACAATGTGAACCCAGCGCTTTCCCCAACGCGCCGCCAACAGGCTCACAGCATTGTGACGCATTTCCCCAGAGCCTTCTGCCATTTAGCAGCAAAACAAATTCACACTTTGCCGACGCGAGCACTCACATCACATACACACATCAATACTCACACTCATACTTATACTAAATAGCAGACATGACATAGAAAACAAAAGCCACGAAGGCACCAGCTTTGAAATAAATAAAAATGTGCACAAATATTGTTGGCAAAAGTCAAAAAGGCAACAACAGCTACAATAACCACAATGGCTACAACAGCTACACCAACTAGCAGCCCAACAGTGCTTATGTGACCTTAGCACACATATAAATACAAATATAAACACATTTGAGAGGGAGTGTTCGAGTGTGCGGGCGTACGAGTGTACAAATGTGGGTGTGTAAGTAACTCAAAACAATGCATCACAACACTTTGATAGTAGCATTGTGTCTTCTTTTGTGCGCTTGTATCGCTTGGCATCGGCTAGAAGTAGGCCATCATTTATGTTTTATATACATCGCATATATTTTAACGAAGGTGTGTATGCGAGAATGTGAAATCAATTCCCAAGGATCATACTTCTTTTATTTTGAATTGCGGCCGTAATGGCAACTGTTATGCTACACAGCATGAATTTCTAACATCAAGAGTAATATTTTTTATGCAGGGCAGCATCAACAATACCAATAGCAAATTTACAAAAATGTCAGCAAAACTATCAACCTAAAATAATTGACATTCCTGCTTAACTAGTCATATTCATAGACATACTTATAGTAAGATGTCCGGCCTTTTTATGGTTAAGCTAACTTGAAAGAAAAAGAGGGAAATTATATTTTTCGAGTTTCTTAGCTTTTCTACACTATTTGTAAAGTGTGATAGATTCTACTACATGGTTAATAACTCTTTTCTCAAGTTCGTGTATCCAAAATGGGCTCTTTAAACTATTAAATTTCGAGAGCAAAACAAGCACACAAGCAACAGCACTCACAACAATGGTGCAATATAAATGTTAGTAATTCCCGTAGGAATAACACGGATAGGCTACGGGAACAACAAAAACAACAGTAATAACAAGGACTCTAAGAACATTAACAGAAGAACGTTTAGCTCAGAGTCGTTTTGTAGTCGCAACTGCTGCGCCAGTCGCCATTTGGGCATTTGATTGTAATAAAACAAATAAAAATGTCGCAGGCACAAAAGTAAATAAAGTTCAAGGTTAGCAAAACAGTTTTTTTTTTTTTGGCCAGCATAGGGTTCTTTTTCTTGGCCTGCGTTGCCCCACGGCAACTTATTTCAATAGTTGGAGAGGCAAGGTTGCTCTAGCTGCTGCTGTTTGCCGATTGCCAGCCGGTACATCCGTTGCAGCTTTTCCGCTCTAAATTCTTCACAGTTTTTTCTGTCAGCCCAGGCTCGCCACCCAACATTCAAGTTGAGGCATCATCCCTTTCGGTGAAGGAATTTACAGAATTTTTCTGAATACTGAATGTTGTTGCTGGACCCATTCTAATAAGAAATGTATTTCAGTCGCTTGTGGGCGTGTCATGTTTGTTTGTCACAGCTCGTTTATTCGTCTGTCTGTTTAACTGTCTGTCCCTGTCTGGGCGCCTGTTTGCGTGCGCTGCTTCCAAGTTATAAATACCCAATTAGTGTCCTCTAATTTATTTAATGGTTTGTTTGATTGCATTACCTTTGCTTTCTTTTGTTCTCTCCGTTTGGCCGCTCAGCCTTGGGTCGCACTTCACATTCTCGACCCTTTGCTTTGCCTAATTGGTTATGATTGGTGCCCCGGAAATCAAGCTGAAAATCCTAAGCAAATACATACAGAAGTATACAGTGTATGTACATATGCAAAGAAAGTTGAAATATTTCGTTTGCGCATTTGACTGTCGAAGTTCCTCTTTTTGTAGCCGAAAAGTTTGTTCCGAAGTTTTGCCCTTGTCATTTTCTGTCGGCTTTCTAATCAAATTTTACAGTTATGTATATTTGCTATTTGTTGCGGTTTTAATCAAATGCACAAATAAATATTCATATGCGCACTCGCACACACACACCAAATATACATAAATGTCTTGTATGGATGTATGGGAAATAAATAACTTTTCCTTTGTACCAAATTGAGATCTGCGGAAGCTTCTAACGTTTGCAGCGGCATCTATCAACGTTTCTGATGTTATATACTTCATTTTGTTACTATTCATGCTGTTGTGTATATTGCCACCTCCTCTTGTTAATGAGCACATAGCAAAGTTTAGTATTCATACGCAGTCTCACACATGTACATGTACACCTAAATAACTTTAGCTACAACTGTTTGTCTTCATCCATAGACACACACTCACAACGAAATACACAAAACTTGAATAAAACTAATTGATAATTTAATTTGCCAGCTCAACATCGCTTACATAGTTTTGGTTGTCGTTGCCATCGTCGTCTAAATCGGCTTCGTTGTCGTTGTCGTCATAGATAATTGTTAGCATTTCTAATTTAATAATAACTGATAAACGTCCTAATTTTTGTTTAGCTGCTAGCTGCATTTAATGATTACTATTTTATATTCAAACTAGCAGGTATTGCCCGTCTTAACCCGGCTCAATATATTGTTTCCAATTGTATTTATTTTGTGTGTGCATAACCTACCAATATGTTTTCACCTTATAAGTTACCAGTAGGAAGGCATTTAAGGTATTTAAATGAACATTTTTTGTTCTTGACAAAAAATTGTTCAGTAGTCCGTTACATTTTTGTTCTTGCCAAACTATTTCGTTAAACGAACATAACAAATATTATAAAGCTCGTTTTCCCCCCTTTGGAGCTAGAATTTTCCAAAAGCCTTTCTTAGTGTCCTACACTATGATGGATACTATGAAAGGATACTTGAGTCCAAATTTCATCTTTTACCGTTTGGGCTGTGCGTTGATCACCAATTAGTCAGGACAAACTGTTTTATATATAGAGATAACGCAACGTTTTAAGATAGACTATGTGCAAAAAAGGGGAATAATTATAAGGGTATATCCTAATTTTAAATTCACATTTGAGTCAATACGGTCACGCACAAACTCGGAATATGAAACACGGCACTCGTGTCAATGCCGTGCAGCGATGAGCCACGATCAAAAAGCACTGACAATTCTCATCTCAATTTGCTAGAGTAAAACTTTCGATAGTTGAAGCCACCGATACCATCAAAATATCGAAGTTAGAATGCAATTAGCAGAATATTTAAATAATAAAATCTAATTATTTATTGATTTTATTTAGTGTTTATTTAAATAATAAAATCTAATTATTTATTGAGATCAATAAGAACAAATCATATACATACATACATCTGCCCGCAATGCGAAGCAGAATATGCGTAGCACCGTTATTCGGTTTCTGCTTTACTATCGCTTACGCAGTCGTTGCCTAGCGACGGTAACTGTAAACCTTTTGGCGTTTTGCCTTTGCAATTAACATTAAATGGTCAAAAGAGAAGAAGAGCGAGCCAATGACTTGCAGTTGTTGTTGTTTTTAGAGCATTATTTTTTTTATAATCAAACAACTGTGTTCGATTGCCCAATGTATACATTAATACGAATGTACATACATGCTATATTCATACACGGGCATACATATGTATGTTTCTCTTTACTTTTTCAACCGTACGTAGAGAACCGCACACATAGACACGAACTGTTGCTTGTTGTGTGTGTGAGTGTGTGTATGTGATGTCCCCAACTATTTGATATTTGTTGTTGCTGCATAAAGTTATTAATGAAAACCCTAATGCCAAATGCACTAAACAAAGAAAAAATTACTTTTAAAAATGTTATATAATTTTCAATTGATTAACATTCTTGCTCTGTCAGTGCAAGACGAATGTGCATACATACATACATATGTAGATACATATGTACATACATAGATGTGCACATATGTATGGACATTCACACATTAGTGTCTCACATTTTGCTTTGGCTATTTCAATCGTTTGCACGCAACTACACGAACAGCTGCTTGTGTGTGTGTGTATGTATGTATTAGTTGTCCCCAACTGTTTGATATTTTGTATTGTTTGTTCTGCCTGCTTTTGTAAAATGCATATTTTGAAAATCCTTGAATACAAAGTTGTAAATTTAGTTACGTAGATTACATTACCCAAATTTTAAATCGATCGGACTAAATTTATAACACAAACTTTTCATTTGAAATAGTGAATAAATATTAAAACCCCAATAATTCAAGCTCCAACACAAATTTCGAAAATCTAAGTACGCAGTTTTGTTTGTATTCTTTAATTGATTTTAGAAACTAAGTTTTAAGTCGATCGGTTAAAAAATGCGGATTTTTCAAACAAACTTTGGAGCCACTTTTCCCCCTTTGGAGGTAGAATTTTCCAAAATCCCTTCTTAATGCACATTAACACTATGATAGGATACTTGACCCCAAATTTCAGCTTTCTAGCTCTTTTCGTTTGGGCTGTGGGCTGATTTTTCATACAAACGTTGGAGCCTGTTTTCCCCCCTTTGGAGCTCGAGTTTTCCAAAATCCCTTCTTAGTGGGCACCTAGACTATAAAAGGATACTTGAGTCCAAATTTCAGCTTCCTAGCCTTTACCGTTTGGGCTGTGCGTTGATCACCAATCAGTCAGTCAGTCAGTCAGGACAAACTGTTTTATATATATAGATTATATTTCGCGTAAAGCGAAGTTCCAAAGTTGAGAAAAACTGCAATGAAGATGAACTGGCGAGGGAAGGTACCGCATGCATCCTTCCAGACATGGAAGGCATTGGCATGTCGCTAACCTCTCTCCATCTCCTCAAGGACACAATGACGCTGGGCTGACACCCATCAGTGTACCAAAACAAATTCGAAATTCCAAGAATTAAGGGAGTGAGAGAAAATCACTATTTGCATGGGAGAGGGGGGAGGGAGGGAAATTCCAAAATACAAATTTTCTGCGTATTCACACAAGGCATCTAAAATTTGGTGTTCCTATAGTCTCCGAGATATAGGCGATTATACGAATGGAAAATCGGGAAAACCCCCATAGGGGGGACAGTCCGGCAAGCTATGCCCCTACTCACAGCAGTGGTGAACAGTGATTCTGTCCGTAGCCAAAAATATAAGATTTTAGTGAGGGGAGAGAGAGCTCACTTGAGATTAAAAAGTAAAAAGTATTATAATTAGCGCATAATACTAGAAAAGGATTGTGCATGGCGTAATCACTAGTGCATCTGTTAAGTTGAAGAGGCAGAAAGTTCCTAGTTGATCTAGGAGGAACCGAAAAATTGATACGACCTAAAAGTATAGAGGAATCAACATCTCCGACAATCAATTTGTGGAGGAACAGAACACCAAGAACTATTCTACGGTGAGCTAAAGAACGCAGGTTAATAAGGAGAAGTCTACTGGAGTATAAAGGTAATCGTAGATTAGGATCCCAGTTTAGACCACGAAGAGCAAAACCGACTCAATGCGATCCTGATACAATTTATACTGAGAACACTAAACAATTGAGCAGTATTCTAGCACTGGCCGTACTAGAGAACTGTACAGTAACTTGGTGGTGTAGGGGTCGTTAAATTCTCTGGACCAACGTTTAATAAAACCAAGAACACCCTTAGCTTTGTTAACGATAGTTAACTCCAAGATCTTCAACTGTAAATATACGTTGTAATGGTATATTGTCAATCGCGTACATACTTTATGGGATCGGCGGTGCTTCCTTCTCCCTTTGCACAAACCTTTTACCCTACGGGTACAGGATATCAAAATGAGTTATCACAAAATAATAGCCAATATACACAGTTGTTGAGAAATTCAATAAACAGCTCTAGACAAGCAACGAGCAAAACATGCTTTGTGCTGATTAATTAAATTTTGACTTTTAATTGAATTTGTGTCAATGTTGCGCAAAACGGTGCGCCAATTAACAGTTGACTTTTAACGAAGGCCTTCTCTTTGTCTTTATTAAAATGCAACTAACTGTTGTTGTTAGTTTTGTTGCGCTACAGCTCTCTAATTCCAAGCTCAAGACATTTGCATGCTACTTACTTACATTTAGCCTTGAACTCATTACGCTGCGGCCGCGTATCTTTCTGCGTTCATATGCGTACGTAATGTGCATGTGTCTATCTGTTTGTATGTATTTATGTCTGTATATGCACATTTGTGTCAGTAGCTCTCTCTGTTAGTGTGTTTGCCGATGCGTCTCTTTGCCTGCGACGTTTTATTTCACTTCCATTTTTGCGCCGCACTAACTTTTATTGTTATGGTGCGCCAACATGCGAAGGCTGCCAAAAGGGGGAAGGTTCGGTCAGCTGTAGTGCCGAGTGTGAGCGAAAATGATGATTGCGAACATAGCGAAAAAACAGCACTCACAGAAGTAGCTGACTTACTAACTGTTTAGTTTGCTTACCAACCAACACTAGCTGTAGCTTAACCCACACTCACGAGCACCCTTAGACAAACACATCAACACGCAGTAGTATTATTATTGTTGTTGTGGCTAGTGCTGCTGTTGCTTCGTCTATTTTCAGTTCATTTGCATTTAACACTTAATTGTCTATTTGCAGTTCTTTTTACTCAACAATGGTATACGCTATAGACAAGAAAATAATATGCTAGAGTCGAGCGGGGTCAACTCTTAAATATAATGTACCCACTCCCTCAAAAAAAAATATAAAAAAAACATTTTTTAAATTACTTTTCCAAAATATTAAATAAGATTGATTGTATATTCAATATATACATAAGAAAAGACATATATGTATGTATGTATATGTAGAGGGTATAAAAAGTACACTTCAAAAAATTAATAAAAGAATGTAAATAAATGTGCCACCTGTTTCAATTGTTTGCTCGCAGTTTGTAATTGATTTCTGATTCTAGCAGAAGTTTTTGTTGTAAATGTAGTTGTAATGTTTCCGATATAAAATTTGATATATACTTGTATGAAGCAGAACAGCTTCAAACATAAGGTAACCGGCATAGTAAGACAACATCAACCGGCATAGTAAGCCAACATCAACATATTGCTTAACTCGGTCAGATCAGCTTAGTAACATTTCAGTGCTCCAGTATACCATACACTTTATCCACGGCACATTTTTCCATTCATACTCACACACTTATGCATTGCATGCATGTTGAACTTGATTTAGGGTAGTACTGCCAGCTGTTTTCATTCGTAACTCTGCTTATGGCAAAACTTTTGGCTACCGCTAACTTTCTTGTTTATTTATTACCAAGTGCCAATATTGCTGTTGGTGTTATTCTTCAGTTCATTCGTTGTTGTTTGTTTGTCGTGCTCTGCTCGACCTGAATTTTTTCTCCTTTTTATTAATAAGCATTCAAAATATTCCATCACTTGAACCATATCTGCTTATTTCTTATAAAAATATCGCACACTTATGTATTATTCTTGTCGTTTTTTCCAGTTACGAGGATGTTATTACCGTTGTTGTAATCGTTTGTCTTGCTCACTAATTTGTGTACTACTTGTAAAACTAATAAACAAATAATTTAGCTTGTAAAGTTTTACATGCCTGCCGACGCTGAGCACTTTACTCAATTGCCTTTAAATAATTGGCCAATAATTCAGTAAAAATAAGCACTTTATTTTCGGTTTCATTATATTCATTGGCAGGGTTCTTTCTCCAGCCACGTCATTATCTTGGGAATTGTTTTCTGCCAATTCTTTGTCCGCTGCTCTTGAGCTAAGCTAAGCAAGGCTGGAAGTCTGAGCATACATACATATACAAGTCAATTTCCGTTAAGTGCATGCAAGGTCATGCACATTTAAAAGTCAGTGTAATTTAATACTAAATGAATGTTAGTTGGAAAACTGTTCAAAATACAATTGCATTGCTCAATTTTCTTTTTCCCAAACAGCAACTTAGCTTAAAGCCTAACTAAATGACGCATTTACCGTATGAAATACTCAGCAAGCACAATTAAAACCAGGTAGACAATTTAAGCAGAGACGAGCTATTGAGAAAAAGCATCAAGCATAATTTGTATCCTCTTAGTAAATGTCAGAGCTTAAAACGTTTACCCACTCTGCTACAGCTCTGGCACAGACCCTCTGCTTTTTTTGGTTCATAAATATTTAAAAGTGTTTTGAACTTACATTATGTTTCCATACAACTTTATAAGCAGCTGGATTTGCATGCACTTTACACTCGAAGTAAACATCGTCGCCTTCCTCTATATCCTCGGGATTTAAATTTGAGCCAAGATCCAATTGTAAGGTGGGTATAACTGCAAAACCAGAAGAAATATACAAATACGTATAGTGTTAGAGTATTTACGTGTCATTTGCATTTTGTGTTTTCTAGTGTAAAGCAAACTATTAATACAGCAAAGAAAACAACGGACGGCTGTCTTAACATACAACTCTTAGTGAAGAAATGCTGGACAGCCACAGAATTTGCTGTTTGCTTTTGGCTGTTTGTGCAAAGTTTTCTACACCCTCCCACACACACCAACGCACCAAAGGAAAGAGGTTAATCTGCGCTTATCTGTGATTAGTGTCGCTTTTTCATTTTCTTTGCCAAGTTGCTTGCCTATTGCGCCTGTCTTGCCAACTACCTTCTTCCAGTTGTTTATTATTATGCGCTTCATTGTTTTTGCTGATTTTTGTGCCACTTGCCAACATATTTTCTTGTTGTTATTGTCTATTCGGTGCTGTTGTTGTTAGTAGCAGTTTTGTACTCAGTCTTGGGATTTTCTTACGCTTTGCCCACGCCAGGTTTTAAACAACTTTCTTTAAGCCGATTTCGTCTTGGCACAGACTTGTTAATGAAAATGAGATTCGTTTTGCCAGCAAGAAGTTCCAAGGAAACTGTTTATGCGCAGCCAAATTCAGCTTCAGCTCAATTTCGTTTGCTTTGCATATCTTAAAGGGTTTGGCATGTGCTCAACAAGTTCATTATTGTGCTGACTATAAGCTGCAGTCAAAAATAGTTAGCCAGCGTCAGCAGCAACTTCAAAGTGACTTGAACCACACTAGTGTGGCTTGATGAGCTTAAGTGGTAATAACTGTCACTGGCCTGCCCAACTATATAATACCATTTTCAGCTAATGCATTTTGTGGTCAAAAGCAGATAGACGAAAATTTTTCGTACAAAAACCAAAGCGTAGCCAAAGCCAGTAACTGCAGCTTAACTTAACTACTTTTGAGTGCTACAATATGTTGCAGCCAGGCCAACGGCACATGCTTCTTCCCGGTCTCGACAATATTAAATTATGCCTGACTACTGGCAACTCTATTGGCTTAGGTCTGTCATTAAAGGTCGGACATACAATTTATTAATTTAAAATAAATTTTTTTGAAGCTTTTACATTTTGAATTATAGTTATATATGTATATGGACTTTTACCTGCTACTCAAATCTACGAAAAATCTACGTCACCCACTCCCCCGCTATTACTGAGTACCGCTATTTTCCATAACTCCCGTAATTCTTAGAATTTCGAACTCAAATTTGGCAATTACATCCAGTGTGTGGTTATTTGTCCGTATGGCAAGTTTCATCATCATTCTGAAGTTATATCCATAAACATAGTCTCTGCCGAAGCTGTTGTTGCTTTGATTCAAATTTGTCATGCTTACATACATGCATAACTTGACTAGCCTAGGGCTTAGGGGAACCTTTATGCCAAGTTTGGTTAATCTTGCTCTTGTACTTTTTGAGATCCTTGCGCTCATCCAAACGGACAGACGGACAGTCGGACATGGCTATATCGACTCGGCTTGTCACCCTGATAAAGAATATATATACTTTGTGGGGTCTGCCACGCCTCCTTCTGCATGTTACATACATTCGCACGAAACTAGTATAGCCTTTTACAGGTTATAAAAGTGCTGCTTGTACAAATATGCTCTCCCCTATTCATTGCAATTATTTTAAAGGTTTAAAATAAAAATTGACTAAAATAATATGTATATATTATAGTATATAGTATGTATATTCATACTCATATTTTCATACAAAATACCTAAATAATAAAAGGTACATAAATAATTAATTAAGGTCATAATCGATTTCGGTACGGTCACAATTTGTTGCCACATCAGTCTTAAATGCTCTGTTTTCTCGGATTCTGGCCTTTTCTCATTTATTTGCTGAGTCATTATTATACCCTGTACCCCTAGGGTAAAAAGGGTATATTAGGTTTGTGCAAAGTATGTAACATGCAGAAGGAAGCATCTTCGACCCCATAAAGTATATATATTCTGAATCAGCATGACGAAAGAAATCGATCTAGACATGTCCGTCCGTCCGTCCGTCTGTCCGTCCGTCCGTCTGTCCGTCTGGATGAACGCAAGGATCTCAGAAACTATAAAAGCTAGAATAACCAAATTTGGCATCCAGATTCTCCTAGGTCCGAGAAAGGACGAGTTTATTTTATTTTTTGGAATTTTCCCCCCCTTCCCCCGCTACAGAATAGCGTCAATAGCGTCCACATTTCAAATGCTACCTAAACCAAACTTTGCACACATAATTTATATATAATTGTCTACTGTTGTTCAAAATTTTAATTCGGTCAATTCTAAGAAAAGTTATTAGCAAAACAAATTCTCGCCAGTACAACCCCCACAAACTGCAGCAACAAGTTCGCTCTTCTTCTTCCTCTTTTTGCTGCTGCTATGGGCGCATATAACTCAGTGACGCAAGTTTACCTGGGTACAGGGTATTACACTGTCGGGCTTGCTCGACTGTAGCGTTCTCTCTTGTTTTTATTGCGGATATGACTTTAATTTCAGCCGTTTCCTTCTGATTTCATTTTTACACTAATTCGAGTTGATTGTGTGGAAAATAAAATCTTTACTTTATTTTTTGTGCCTTTTTTAGGTATTGCATGGGCAAGAACGGCGAGGGAAAAGTGGGGTGTCTTGGTAGGCATATGCCAAAGGTCAAGATTTATAGAGCGAACTGAGGAAACTGCTGAAAATTCAATGTAATTTTTACGGTAGTTTTATTGTGCACATATACTTTTTGAGTAAATATGAATGAGAGCACCTTTTGTAATTACAGACGGATGTTATTGGCAAGCAAAAACAGCTATAGTTCAATGAATAACAAGTAAAAAAGCTAAAGTCGGGTGTCCCGACTTTGAAATACTCTGTACATATGTTTACAATAATTATAGAAAATAAAAAAAATTAAGAAAATAAAAAAAAAATTTGATCGATTTTACCTCTCTCGGTATTCGAACTCACGTAAAGGGTGTATAATTGCACATTTACATAGCAATTGCGTCTGTGTGAGTGTATGTATGCCTATGCGCATTAATTCGTGTCTGTGTAAGCATTTTCGCAGTCAACCAAACAGCAACATCAACAACAGCCGCGGGCAGCGCTTGAGCAGCGCTGCAGCAGCGCTGCATCAGCAAATATATTTATGGCTATAACTTCTTGTTAAATCGGTCTATCATAATGAAATTTGGCATACGGACATATAATAACTAACTGGGGGTATTTCCAAAATTTTAGTTCGAAATTCCAAGAATTACGGGAGTTACGATTTGCGGGGTAGAGGGGGGAGGGAGGGGAATTCCAAAATATACATTTTCTGCGTATTCACATAAGGCATCTGGGACTAAAATTTGGTGTTCCTAGGTCTTATAGTCTCCGAGATATAGGCGATTATACGAATGGAAAATCGGGAAAACCCCCATAGGGGGGAAGTGGGGGGGAAAATCAAAAAAATAAAACAAACTCGTATAGAATACACACATAACGCATCTTCGTGCAAAATTTGGTGTCTCTATCTCTTATAGTCTCTGAGATCCAGGTGTTCATACGGACGGACAGACGGACAGACGGACAGACGGACAGACAGACAGACAGGGCTAGATCGACTCGTCTCGTCATGCTGATCAAGAATATATATACTTTGTGGGGTCTGCCACGCCTCCTTCTGCCTGTTACATTTTTCAGCTCCCGCAAACCTAATATACTCTTGTACATTTCATGTACAGAGTATAAAAAGATCCCAAGTACTTTACAAACCATAAACTGATGTTTCGTTTCATCACTTACTTGGCTGCAACTACAGCTAAGATTTCAATTTGCGTCGGTATCGTCCCCTTCATAATGCAAACAAAATGTGCTAAAAGAAGACACAAAATTTTCTTATAACTACAACAGCGTAAAATCACAGGAAGAGCAGGGGCAGAATATTTTAAGCACGCTATAAACATGTAAATGAGCATGGAAATTGAAATTGTTATCTAATTTTTTATATCAGCAGCGAAGACGATGGCGGCAGCAGCGCGTAAAAATGAAAGTCTGCTTCAAGGCGCTGAACGCAAAGGGAACACCATTATGTTTGTGTTGTTGTTGCTGATGCCGGCGTTGAAAGGAGTAAAAGTTTCATGGCAACGATGCGGCAAGCTCTTAGATAATAGACGTGGAAACTGTTTGGCTGCATACTCTTTTACCTTCTTCCGTATTCATTCCCCCTTCGCGATGCTGTTGATGACGTTAACAGTGAACTCTACATGGCTACAAGACGTAACAGACTATTGAAACATAAAGCGTGTATAAATGGGGTTTGGTGTGCTACCGCTCGACCATATAAAAAACTTAGATGCTGGCTTTTTTAATATTTTGCATAGAAATTTTTATTAAGAAACTTTAGTCGAAATGTGCCCTAGAAGCCTGCACTTTGTATATTCGCTTTTCACTTTGTGGCATTGTCGATTTTATGCTGCTGCTGTTCTGCTATTCTTGGGTTGTTATTGTTCGTAGGTGGGTTGTTAGGCAATTTTTGGCTCTGCCACCATAAAACAAACGATTGACATTCGAGGCTGAGTGCCACAAAGAAACTCTCTATGAGATTTATATGTAAATCAAGCAAAGTATTGATTTTATGTTTGTGTTGCGTAATTTATGAGTGCATTGGTTATAAACCAAAAGAATCGTAAAATATGTGCAACTATATCGGTCAGTGCTAAAAGGAGAAAAAATATACTTACAAAATACATTCAGTTTCATGGCAGTTTCGCGTATACCGTTGCGTACCAGCTCGTTGGTGGCGCGGCATGATAACGCTTTACCATGATCCTCACGGGTGGGCGTGATCGAAAGTACAGAGGTGCTTACATTGCCATCCTCGGAGACCTACAAGATTGCAGGTATAGGGACTTATTTTGCGAATTATTATATTCCTTACTCACCTTCTGGCTGTGTCCATGTAGCTCCAAATTTCCCATCCACCATGTGATTTTAGCCGGTGGCCTTGAACCAATGGCCTGACATTCAATCTCATACTTGCGATCCGCTGACATAGGCTGATTGTTAAAACTTATTTCCACCAGTAGTGGACGCACTACGAAATAAAAAGCGGATAAAAACAATTTATATTTTCATGTCAGTTCGCATATATGATGTGGGGCGTGCGCATCCATTAATTTGATATTTAATTCGATATTTAATTATTTGCTTTAATGTCATCGTAGGTTTTCTATTTACACAAATTTTCATTTTGTTTATTCATTCAAATTGTGTGTGAAAAACCGAAAACGTAATGCAAATGACAAGGAATACAATTAAAATTAATTGCAACAAATTACGACTGCAACATTTGGGATGCCAATTGCTACAACAAAAACAATTGTAATACCAAAACACGATGGCAATGCGTAATGTTTAATTTGCCATATATTTTCATACGTGTATAGGTATACGTAAGTATGCTATACTTGTTACCATATAAAATACATACGATTGGAAAATGCTCAATGCCTAACTAAAAAGTCAGACATATAGAAAGCTGAAAGCTAACACCTGACATCAGTTCTCAAGTAAACAGTACTGTGTTTATAAGTAATCAATGAGATGAATGGAGATCAGCTAAATGAATTGTGTCTGCTTGCCTATTATTTAATTTGTTAATAAAGTTAACTTGAATTTGATCATCAGATCTCCTTTCATATTCGAACAAATATATACAAAAATTATTTCAAATAAACAATGAAATGAACATAGCCTTTAATCTTCAATAAAAGCGGCGTATTTATTTTTAAATCCAATCATTCGTTTGATAAGAATTTAAAAAAAAGCTTCATATTCATAATCGTTATTATTCATAGTCACTTTACAAATGTACATACATATAAATTTACATTTGTAAGTATGTTTAGTGTATACCTAGAAAAATGAAAAATAGCTCCCGACCCTCCGCAACCTCTCCAATATATGTATATCTGCGACCATTCATGAGTAAACACAATAAGCATATTTGCCAAAATGCATAAAATAAACAAATAAACAAACAATTGAATAAATCGGCAAACACAAACCCGAAGCACGTATCGCATAGAAGTTCATTATCGCGTTTACACGTTGCAGTTGTCGTTTTACATAATATTTTATTTATGGCGTATTTGCTAACGGCCTATGTTTTAGTAAATTCATTTTAAATTATAAATTACGTTGTTCGTTTTTGTAAGCATTTATATTTCTATAAATTGAACATTAAATTGTGCGCTGGTTTGGTTTCGATAGATGCTTTGACCACGCCAGTCAACTAAAGTATTTTTATGTCTATGTATATGTGAATTTACTGCGGCTTGCCACGCATTTTATACGTCGATTATGTTTGAAAATCAAAAAAGAAAAACATAAAAACAACATTTAAAAAAACGCTAAAGTAAAATACATTTTTTACACTATATTAATTTATTTTTTCCCATTTTAATGTAATTCTTTCCACAATTTTTTGTTTTTGCTATGTTTGAATGCAGCACGGACGCACCTTACGTACGGGTATTGTTGAATACTTACACACAGTTATTGCTGTTGCACACACTTTCCGCGTTTCATTGTAATTGAATTAATTATGCGAATTTGCATTGAAAAATCATTTAAATGTTTAATTAAAGGCATTACAAAAACTGTGTAATTATGCAAAAGCATTTTAAATGCTTAAATAGCTTAATGGTTACACTAAAAAGCAAGAAAAAACACTACAGTCGAGCGAGGCCAACTGTTAAATACCCTGAACTCAAACAAACTTTCCCCGCTGAGTCATATTAATTTGTAATTATTGGAGAATCATCATAATCAAAGAGCAAGAACGCCACTTCAAACTTCGCATCACACAATCATATACATACAAGGGCGTAGGCAGGGGGGCAGGGGGAGGGCAGAGTTTTGCCATATAAAGTCGACCACAGACTCGTTATTTTGATGCACTATTTCGCCTTAAAATGGAACTTAGTTGGATTTGTTGAAGTTTTTCCATTGATCATATGCATAAATTATTTTTTAAATGCATTTTAATTTATATATAGCTGCCCAAGGGGTAGTGTGGTCTTGCATCTTATTGAATTATGCATTGATTGTGCTCATTGGATACTTGCATATACATACGTGTTATTTCAAAAAATCAATCGAAAAACCTTCAACTTTGGCCTTGATCCTTCAGCAGCCGACATTTAAATCACAAAAAAAATATATTGCCGAGTAAAACGTACTTGACAAGTGGATCGGCATGTGGGGCATTGGCATTAATTATCTAATTCTTGTTGACGATAAAATTAACTAATTACAGTCTCACTTAATATTCAACATTTGATTTTGTTTTTTTTTTTTCTTTACTGCACGCACAAAATAAATGCCACGCAATGTGCTATCGAACCTTTGTGGTGCCCCTCAAGGCCATCTATTTTGACAAGTCAATGGCAACAGAAATTTATGGATGAATTAAAAAAACTTTCCAGTAACTATTTTAAACAACAGAGAACGCTACAGTCGAGCAAGCCCGACAGTAAAATACCCTGTACTCTCCACAAAAAAGGCAAAATTTAAAAAAAATTATTAAAACCAATTTAATTAATTAATTTAATTAAATTAAAAATTTGCAATACATATGTACATACATATCAAAGTGAAGACATGTTTATGTAAAGTTTCAACAGCATACATTTAAATCATCGTGTCTATGCGTGTTTATATAAGGAATAAGTCGAAGCAGCAACATCAACAGCTGCGGACAGAGCTTCGGCAGAGAGTATATTTATGGCTATAACTTAAAATACCAAAAATTACGGGAGTTATGGCAAAAATACAAATTACGGAGGAGTAGGGGGATGCATCGAAAAAACATTTCAAACTCGTACTTTCTCGGTCTTAGGATCTAGATACCAAGTTTGGTTATTCTAGCTCATATACTTTCTGAGACCCTTGCGTTCATACGGACAGACAGACGGACTCGTCTTGTCTTACTGATCAATAATATATATACTTTGTGGGGTCTGGCACGCTTTCTTCTAAGTGTTACATACATTCACACAAAACTTGTATACCCTTTTACCCTTTGGGTACAGGGTATAAAAATTTTGATTATCGTAAAGAAAACTGCCGGCACACTTCTTTGCTGTTTTTACACTAGGTTTATTAATATTTTGTATTCTTTATTTTATATTCTTTTTTATTGTATAATTTGTATGTATTGATATTTATTTAACCGTAAAACGAAATTTCTGAGCGCCTTCGTTATTGACATATTAGCTTTTTTTATATTTGTGTTTATTTGGCGACACTCCCATTCATGTGTGGGCGCCTACGTGTAAGCTAGAATATGGAATATGCATATCAGCAGCTGTTGCCAAAAGCGTCACAGCAGGTATTAGCCAGCATCCTAACCAAAAATTGACAGCAATTGCTTTTTGGGGGACTCAAAGTCATTGCAATTGCTATAAAACTCAATGGCAAACAGTAGACAGCTAAAACACAGCTTTGCGGCATGTTTCTGATCGCACATACATATGTCTAATGCCCAATGAAGAACATATCGACAAGGGTACATTTTGAGTTTATTGTGAGTAGAAAACACAAATGACGCTGCTCTTATAAGTTCCAGTTAAATTTTTGAAATGTTTAATTTTATACAATGAACATCCTTGTTGTGCCCATTGTGTCTGACATGTGTCTTCCCATACGTTAAAAACGTTGATGATAAAAACAATACTCTCTTTAAAATACAAATTAGGGTATAAAGATCACATGACTCACAAATTGCCTGCAATTAAATTCAATTTCAAAATTCGAAAAAGGCGCGCAAAGGATATTTTAAAATTGTCACTAAAATAACAAATCCGTTTACAAAATAAACCCCAGTACGTTGGATAAATGGAATACAGTATTCGAAAAAGTGTGCATACATATGTATGCATGTGCTCAGCCAAACAATATGGATTCCAAAAAAAGGTTGGATTTTGGGCAGGGGGTAAAAGGCTTGCTCAAAGTTACGTATACGCACGAAATTTTAAACTGCTTTTTGTTGTCATTTTGCATTTGGATTGTTATTTTACGCTTTTGTTTTTGTTTTTGCTGCATTTTATTATATTTGCATAAGCCATTTTATTATCTATTTTTTGCTCGACGCCGACCAAGGACGGCTTGTTGGAGTTCAGTTTTTGCTTTGCGACCAGCTCCACGTTGTTGTTGCTATTATACGTTTTATCTGCGCAGCTATTTGTTAAAAGTTTTATCGGAACGCTTAAAACTCACGGTAGCAACGAAAACATTAAAACAAAATTTTAAAAATTCTCAACAAAATATAACAAAGTAAATAAATACATAAACTGTTTGGCAAACCATTTTGAGTAGCATATTTTGTTGGGTATAGTATAGTATATTTGTGTGAGCGGCTTTTTGTGTATTGTTGGGGACTACGAACTCAATTTAAAACTTGTTTATGCCTTGTCGACGTTGAGTGCAGTTGCCTGCGCATTAAGGCCAAGAGCACAATAGTCGACACCTTGCTTCACCAACAACAACAAAAATTATGCTTCCTTTTGGAAATACTCACGGTATAGCTCGATAGTGATATTGGTGGCCACATATTTCTTGTGGAAGTTGCTCGCTTGACACGTGTAGACCGCATGCTGGTGTATGCGTGACAGGTTGCGCACGACTAATTTGCTGTTGATGGTGCCGTCATAGGTGTAATCGACGACGCTGTTCTGTAGTTGGCCATTCATCAGCCAGGTGACAGTTGGCGGCGGCGAGCCTGCGGTTGAAAGAGGAGAAAACGGGTGTTTGTTTTATAGAGCTTTATATTATATGCACATATACAATTTTTCATGCCCTGCATAAACTTAAATAAAACATTATAGAGTTGGCAGGCAATTTGCCAACCTTGAGTTTTAAATTGCGGGCAATAACTTGATGCACGTAAGCCAGCAGGCAAATTATAGTGGTGGGTATGGAAAGATTTAGATGGCTGACGTTGTTGCTGCTGCGCTTTCTTTTAGTATTTAGGGTGGCTGACTGTTCGATTATTCAATAACCTACATTTTAAAGACCAGATGACTATTGTTTTTCGTTTCACTTCTATTTGACCACGTTACGCTATTTACATAAACAAGCCATGACTACACCAACTTTGTATATCAATAAGCATTACTCAAACGCAGCTTGTGGCAATTGGCCGCTTTTTACCGACTTCAACTTAATCAAGTGGTGAAATTAGCTTTGGTGTGCATATACAAGTATGTAGGTGTATACACGAGTATGTGGGCCCATTAATTTAATGAAATTGCCCGAGGACCTGTACAATACAGTGTGGAAAAAATAAGTTCCTTATTTTCATCCATTTTTGATTATTTTGTTAAAATAAGATTAATTTAAGAACATGCGGACGGACGGACAATGATATATTGACTCTTTTGGTCATACTGATCGAGAATATATTATACTTTTGAGGGTCTGCCACGCCCCCTTTCGTGTGTTACATACATTCGCACCAAACTAGTAGATACTAGACTTCAGATAAGGGATGGAAAAACATTCCACTGGAGGAAAATAATATGTTAGCCTATATTCATTTGTATTTATATTTATACAAATACAATTTCCCTGGTAAGGGCCATGAAATCCACCTGCGAATTCAGTAAAACTATGTTTGTATGTACTTCCTACAAACACTCGCATACATACATATAATGACGGCTGCATTTGATACATTTGAAAAATGCGATAAAAACCACATACTCACATATTTGTACATGGCCGTCGACACATTGACACACGAACGCACGAACATGGTACTAAACCCACATTACTTTGATTAATTCCTGCTATTTGGTTCAGTTTTATGTTGCTTATGAAATTATTTCACAAACTGAGAAATGAGTCTGCATTTCAAGCCCAACCAACATTTAGACGTCATAAGGTAGGTCTATGAGAGCCATTTCAATTCAATATGTATATGTGTACATTCTAATTTGTTAGAATAAGAAACTAGCGCTTTTGTTTTTATTAATATGTTAAGAGACTGTACAATTCTACAGTCTAAGCCCGACAGTGAAATGTCAAACAAACTTCCAACGCTATGTTATACATACATATGTGCCCATACCAGGAGCAAAAGGAAGAAGATGAGCGAACTCCCTCTTGCAGTGGGCGTAGTACTGGAGTAAAATTAGCCTTCTTAGTCAGAACCCCCGTTTTATAAATCATACAGTGGCAAAACTTTTTCCCAATGGTTTTAAGAAATATTGTTTGTTTTTTTAAATTACACCTAATACACATTGAATCCTTTGACATATGAACAACAATATTACACATAGTATGTAAGGAAACTATAATAATGTGGCTAAGTTCCGCTTATACCGTCTTTTCAGACTTACTTAATACAAAAAAAAAGGCGCACCACGTGCCACTCGAGGCAGCCGGCTGGAGGTTCGTGGCAATATGCGTGCATCCTACACATAAATTTTACTAATTTGCGTTGCCTGTTAGTTTCTTTTTCCTTCACTTGCTTGCTAGCTCTCGGCTCGGTCCGCCATACTATTTTCTATTCCAAAATTTTAATTAGCAGTTCGCAGCAGACATGCCTCTGAGTCGCTCAGGCAACCTGCCATTTGCTGTGGTGCGGCTTCTGTTGCGAGCCTGTTGGCAAAATTGCGACCATTTTGTCTTTTATTGCATTTGCGGTCGCTGTTGACTCGCAGTGTGAAGTGGATGATGATTTTTAGAAGTGGGGCAGTTGCCCACTTTTGCGTGATTCGCATACTTCTTGGTCGACTTAGCTTATAGGACAAACTCTCAGTTTCATTTGTCGGTCGCCTTTTGTTACATAACCCATTTACCGCTTGCGTAAAAATAGGTACATAAATCAGCAAAAACAGATAGACATAGGACCTATGTATGACCGACATAGCATACAGTTTTCAACTGGCATTCTATGTTAACTCTCTCTTTCTTTACTGTATATACATTATTCTATATGTTTAGCATTTTTTTACTGCACTTTAAGTTGGTTGCTAACTGTTCGCTCTCTCATGTTTTCTGCCTTTTACACAACATCCTAATGAGCAACACTAAAGCTTTGCCACCAACATTTAAAATGATGACAATTTTCACAGTTTTCGTTCGCATTTAAGACCATCAGATACTTTTGACTATCCCGCGACTCTTGGTAGACACTGGCAAGCGCATACAAATAGAAGCACAGACAGCACTCATACACATTTACACACTTGCTTACGTTGCGTTTCTTGGCTCTAACAGCTTTTTCTCTTTTTTTCTGGGGCGCATCAACATGATCCCAGCCCCTGTCCCTTGTAATGCCTCGAAACAAAAAAATACTGAAAAACCCGTGCACGCTCTTACATATAGCCACACATATGCACTGGCATGTTGCAAGCAGCGCCTTTACTTATGCAGAAATGCTGAAATATTTGTTTGTTTAGTTTTGCATATCTTTGCATCACATCTGCTCCATATAAAAAGCAAGTCGACTACTCTTCTCTGTGCGTCTGTTTAAGTCTGCATGTGAGTGTAAGTGTACAACGATACAGCAGCAAGAACAGAGCGCAACTGAAAACGCAGGCAAACAAAGCACTTAAAAAATAAAAGATATAACGGCAACAGTAGTACCAACAACCATTTGGGCGAGCTTCTGTCCTTGCTGTTACTACTGCTGATAGTTACAAAAATTCTCTGCCACATAAATATTTTTTATGTTGTCTTTTCTACACATTTTGTTTGCTTGTGGGTGAATGTATGTACTCATATATATGTATGTATTTATGTATATGTGCCCGCCTGGTATTTGGCATTTTGCTTTTTGTTGAGCAACTACCCATTGCGGGAGCAGTGAAATAAATTTAAAGACCATGCTTTAAGGGCCGTGAAGAAACAGGACAAAAAAAACAAATCAAAAAAAAAAAGATAGCATTAATCCCTGATAAATTCCCGAGTTGTCATTTGTAAGTACGTGTGCACGTTCTGGAGCTTCTCCACTACATCAAAAATAGTGACAACACTTAGAACAGGGTCAAGCTGAATCTCGAAGCTAAGGTACAATACTAAATGTTAACGTGGTGGGAGATGAAAACATTTATGTTATTAAGATGTCCTTTATTTTATTATCAAGCTAGATAGTTTGATTGTAGTTAATGATTAGTACTAACTTGTTGACGAGTGCAGTAAAAAACTAAAAGGGGAACTCTTAAATGAGTGAAACGTCTTTCCATTCGAAAATACAGCTCCAGTGGGGTACGTGAAAATACGAAACAAAATTATGCAAACAATTTGAAAAGCATAACACAGCACTAGCAACAGTAATATAAACTAAAAGCGAAATTAGTAGCGCCTTGTTGGTATACCTTCTCTTTATAACTCGTGTTGCTACTATTGTTTCTACTGTTGTAGTCCGTGTGCTTCTGGCAGCATACAACATATTAAAAGTGCTAAAAATGTGGCACAAAAAATGTAATAAAAATGCCCACAATTTTTGTAGTATGCAGCAAGCAGCTTGCCAACCTAATAGGAACAAAAGCTACAAAATCATAATCAGCAATGAGAACAACAACATTACAGCCGCGCACTAAAGAAAAAGCGGAAAACGCCTGCACTTCCGCTTGCTACAGAGTATGGCACGTTATTTTCTGCTTCTTTTTTGTTATTGTTGCTCCAGTTGATGTTGTTGTTTCAACTGTTATTGCTTAACGTATACTTACCATATTCTATGGCGTTTTAGTGAAACCGCCGACGGTAAAATTCATAGTATGCATTAGCCCTTTCCAAAGCTGCAGATTACCGTCCCATTGAAGCGCCTAGTTCCATGCCTAACCCAATATTTTCTTTATGATTTTTGCCCATATTGCTGGCTGGGGCTTAAGTTTTCTACCATGAATATGTATGCCTTATAACTTCATTGCCTCCATCTGCTTTTGGACTGAGGAGTTAACTTGCTGACGGTTCGCCATCGCCGCCCATGGCGTGTCACATTCATTTGACTCAACCGCCTTCCCGTTGCTTTTACTTTTCGTCGTCTGTGCTACAATAAAATTTACGGCTGCTTTGTCGATTTTGCACACGTTTAATTCTAACTGCCAGGCAACTTGGCCAACTGTCGCCGCCTTCCGACGCAAGCCCAATGCTGCCCCTGCTGCTTTGACTTACTTCCCTGATTACGCTTTGTTAAGTGGCAGTCTTTTCGTTGGTAGAAACTGCAGTTACCGTTATTTGCAGTAATAAGAACTGCAATTTTCAAATGGACATTGCATGTTTGAATGCCTGCTAAGCATAATGGTAATAGTTGACGCGTAATTTATTTCCTTCCACTGATTTTAGTTGAATGTAATTTCTGATTTGGTACAAGCATGCTTAAGCATTAACATTGAAGTGAAAACCATTCTCGGTTATCCGCATATCGCACCATTTCGCTTTATGCATATTGCATGGCAAGGGGCTAATATTGAAAGCTACTCTCATACGTATACTTAAAAAAAAAGAAAAAGTAAGTTTGTGTTATAGCAACACATATAATACCGAAGTTTCTCTGCTGGCAGCATCTGCTAGCTGGTAATTGTCTTCATACATTTTTATCATATCGCATACTCTTGCCCGCAGCCCTGAACTTGCAAAAATATTACCCATACGCACTTTGTTTTATAATTTCCGATTCAAAAACTTTACATAACTCGATTAATTCTTATTTATTTATATTTGTTTTAGCTAACCAAGTACCAGGCAATAACTGCATATTCACACTCTTCAACATGGGTCTCTGGTGTCTAACAGCCTCGTTTTACACATTGTGTTTAGCCATTTAATTGGCGCATACAATATTTCAAGTGCTAAATTTGTTTGGGTGTTTTTTTACCATCACTCACAACAGGACCAACGGGTAACAGTTGAAACGATCTGTCGCTCTCGCCACGCCCTACTAGTCGAGTGTAGTTTTCTTGTCCTAGTGATTTATTTTATGTCAACGTTGACATGTCAAACCCTTCAAAGTGGTTTTGCTTCCGTTTTGAGCCAGAACCGCGTCCATAAAGCACGCGATTGTTGCTGTAGCTGTTGCCGATTGCTTAAAGTGTGTGACATACTTACTAGCATGCGCAACTTATACATAGTACATACTTGTACATGTACATATAGGTATATGAATTTGTGAATATGTCTGTGCAATGGTTTTTCGTTTCTCACTGACCAACCGACAGACGCCTAACCGACTGTTGAACAATTTGAGCTGGATTTCTACCACTTGCCTTGCTTGAACAGAATGGATACTTATATCGTTGCATATGTACTCATACAAGTACTAAGTATATACGGGTTGCATACATGCGTGTGAATACACATTCACCCACATTTCTCAAGCTGTCGCCAATTCGCAAATTCATCAACTTTGGCCACCAAAGCTGGACCCATTGTCGCCGACTCCCGTTTTCTCGACACCTCCACTCACGGTATATATTGTACCTTTATTTGTAATGTAACTGCTATCGTAGTTTTATTGTTGTTGTTATTTTGCTATTATTACTGCGCACTGCTTGCCACTGCTTCCGCTCGCCATTTTTAATCCTTTTGTATGCGGCACATTTGAGAAATTGCCACTGCCATTGCTACCGATTTTCGCTTTCAATTGACGTTGAGGCTTTGTTTTTGCTTTTGCATGTGTTGTTGTTTTTGATCCTATTGTATGAATGTGTACAGTTGTTGGTTTTTTGTGTGCTTGACTACGACTCCTGCTTTTTCGGCTATTGTTGTTGCTCACAATTGAACTTTATTTACCTTATATATTGTTTGTTATGTTTATACCTTTGCTTTTGCTGTTGCGGCTGCCTTAGCTTTTGTTTACACACCACGCTAGCTCAACGCGACTCCAATTGTTTTTCCACTTGCTGTACCCAATGCGATTTTATTTTTGATAACATTTGCGCACGAAATTTATATTCCGACAATAACGACAATACCAAAAGCAATAGCCGACCCTGGCAGCTGAGTTTGTTAATTTACAATCATTGATTTTTGTTTTGCTTACGACTAAATTTCCCATTTTTTTTAAATTGTGCTTTCGTTATTGTTCAGATCTCATAGCGCAGTACTTACCACCATAAACGACACAGGTCACTTCTAGACTGCCGCCCTCTTCGTAAGGTCCGGCCCGTGAATCGATACGTAGACGACGCTCATTGAAAATGTTAGGCTGCTGAGGGGGCACTATGAAAGGTAATTAGAGTTTATGGTAGTTTGTAAGTAAAATAAGTAAGAAGGGATATGGGCTCTTAACTATAAATATATTTTACATGATTCCTTTAACAAAAAAATTTACTTAAAAATGATTTGTGTGACCATTTTTTTTCATTGGATATTTATATTTATGTATATTTCAGAAAAAAAGATATGCAGGTCTGAATATTTAGCTACATTGCGCACCATTGTTATTCTTTGCTAAAATACTTATACACAAATTAAAATGTTTTCTAGGCGTCAACGGTTAATGCATTTTTGACGTTGACAATCGTGTATTAAACCACAAATCACAACCAATTTGCATAGGATGCAAATGGAAAATCTAAAGCGCCCAGTCTTTATAAACGTTTCGCAAAATACATTTTGTAAGCTTGCGGTCAACCGAAAAATTATATTAGCTAATTTATGTTTCTATTTTAAATAGCAAAAATAATGTTAATTCCTTTCATAATACGAAACAGCATATTTGCATTGCAGCAATAACACACCATTATTTAAATATAAATAAACATAAGTATATGTCATTTCAACATATATACATATGAATGACTGCACTTGCCAGCGCATTTAACTATAGCCGCATTGTCCGTTGTGTGGTGTGTTGATTTAGCACACAAAAAAATGAATTTCCAATGCGGTTAATTTTTAATAAAAAGTGGCAAGCAGTAGGGATACAGATTACCAGTGGTTTCGAAGTTTTTTATTTGAATTTGTGTGTACAAATGCATTTTGTAAAAATGAGAGACTGGAAGAAATATACTTACAGTAAGTATTATAAAGCTTTTGCATTTGTATTCATAAAATGGTAAAAAGAAAAGTAAATCAAAATATACGCACCAACAACTTCCAAATTGACATTGCTATTTCTGGTCTGCGAGAGCTTGAAGTCCACCCGGCAGCGAAAGTTTCCCGCATCCTTTTCCTGTGTTGAGAGAGGGTAGTGTTAAAAAAAAACGAAACGAAAAATTCAAGCGTAAAAGGTGCGAACATGCAAAAAAACATTAATTACAAAATTTTATGTGGCTGACACTTATTATTCTAAACTTAGTTTGGTCAGAAGCTAACATACCTTAACTGGATTTATAATCAATTCCGCCGGTTCCTTGTGTGTACGAAAAACTGCGCGATCTTCAAGCACCTCCTCATCACGCCAATGTGAAGGCGTACCTGCATGTGCCCCACGTGTATCGTAACTGTCATTGGCAGTTGGATAAGATCTCCTTTAGTACAAAGTTGCCAGCCCATACAGCCCATTTATACTTACCTATATATGGGCAAATTATTTTTATACCAGACGACCAGCAGCACTTTATCATCGGGTAGACTGGAGCCCACATCGCACTTTATTTGTGCCGAGCTATTGACAAGCACCCGTAGTATTTCTCCATCTGCAAGTAAAAAGAGCGAGAGAAAGAGAGATGGCGAAACTTTATAAGTTGTTTTGATGCCAACGAATGCAATGCTCGACAATTCGCTTAAATAAATAAAAGAAATCAATTTCCCTCCAAAATTGGTTTTCAACTGGCTGCCGCAACAATTTATCAAAAGTGTCGAACAATTTCTCTACTAAGCCATTGCAGATAAAACGTCTCGTGCTGGCGCCCATGCCAAATTATGAAGTGCCCAGTATTTTTCGAGATTTCTTGGCAGCTTGCACGATTTCTCGTCGTACCTATGTATATATTTGGTGCCCTGCGAGTTGAAAGCCACCATTTATATTTGTTGTTGCCCACAAAAAGATCACCAAATTAAACAAAAACTGCACATTGGGGGAACAGCTGCAACAAAAAGTCTGAAGACTTATGCACCTTTCGTTAAATCGCACTTAAAATGTGAAAAGCCTCCAAAAAACAAGTGGAGAGGATAAAGTCAGGTGTACCGACTTTGAAATTCTCTGTAGATATGTGTGGAATAATTACGCGTGTCTATGCGTGTATGCGTGTGTTTATGTGTGTCTGTGTATGTCTCGTGTGCCTGTGCAAAGTGTTAACAACAACAGCTGCGGGCACTGCTTGTACGGACAGACAGACCGACAGGGCTAGATTGTCTGGCTGATCAAGAATATATATACTTTGTGGGGTCTGTCTGTTACATTTTTCAGCTCGCGCAAACCTAATATGTATACTCTTGTACATTTCATGTACAGAGTATAATTGAAGGCATAGGAGCTCTTATTCTGGTCAGTAGCCAACAAACAGTATAAACATAACACTTAACTCATAGTAACAAAAAAATAGCACATACAGAGTTAATGCGCCAAAGTGCCACAAAAACTGAACGGATTGTGCACGTGACGCTTCAGCGAGTTCTAAGCCTCATGCGGATTACGAAATAACCGCCATATTGTTGGTGGCTGTGTGCTAAATTACAATATATATTAAAGAGGCAGAACAATAATAGACACAGGGAACAAATGTGAGCTATATGGGGCCAAGCATGCTTATAACTGCAGTATCTGTGACGTCACTAGTCAAAACTCCTTTAGCAGACCAAAGCATATCCGGTCTGTTAACTTTGCAATGGAGTGCACAATACCTACGCACAGCTCAAACGCATTGTGATTCCTGTTTTTGTTGCCGAGGGCTTCTGTGGGCTTTGGTTTGAGAGCGGCGCCATTGGCCATGTCAATTTTGTCCGGGCGTATGCCGACACACAAACGACCACATGATAAATAATCGATAAATTATGTGGACACATGTTTAATCTAGCGTGAAATAGAATCATTTCCCTTCAATTTGTTTGTGTGGCAGTATGAACAACGAAAAACAGAACAGATGTGTGTTAGGCAACAGCCGCAAGGCAACCTTTAAGCTGTGCAATGGTTCGAGGTATGGTGAGAGGTGCTACCTTTGACCGGCCGTAGGCATTAGCTGGGGGTTCTTTTAAAAATAAATATTGAGCAATGTATAAATAAGATGGTGACAGAGCCAACAATGTTTGACAACCGGGCGAATGAGTGATGTAAATAGAGTTCTTATGGTATGTTATTCAAATCCAAATGGGTATCTTTGCGAATGGACATACTGCATGTACTTTTACTTTAACATGCAGGCTACTGTTAAAATGTTTATGCATAAACACATTTTTCTCCAAACTTAAATAAGCAAAGAGAATGCTACAACCGAGCAAGCCAGTTAGTGAAATACTCTGTGCCCATATGCACCCATAGCAAAAGCAATGAGCAGAGAAAGATCAAACACCCCCCTGCAGTTTGTGGACGTAGTACTGGGATGAAATTTTTACAATAGTAACTTTTCTTTGAATCAATCTATTTGGATGAAACTTAAGACAAAAGTAGAGAATTTTGTATTTATTATGTGTACCTTTTTATGTTCCTTTGAACTTATGGGCGGTATTAGCAAAATTCTGCAGCGGGGGTATGTGTCTGCATACCAGGTCAATGTGAAGTACAAGGGGAAGAATAACCAAATTTGGCATCCAGATTTTCCCAAGCCCGAGAAAGGAAAGTTTATAATTGTTTTTTTTTTTAACTCTTATGCTGCTAAGATACGCGTTAGTTGTTATTGACAAAGCAATATAGTAATTATTATTTTGAGGGTATCAATATTGCAATAGAGTACAACGATTACTAAGTCTGATCTTCGTAATGTATGAGTAATACAATTCTTTTGATTGAACAAAAACCAACTGCATTACCCGCTCATTGTAAAGAACTATCTTGCTGGTTGATCTTCATTTCATATCCTTCAGCTTCATTAACCTGCCACTAATTACATTCAAACACTGCAACAATGATAACGCCGTCTATGGAATTGTTATTGTTGCCTTACCTCTTCAATGTAATTTAACTTTTTCTAATTGACACTTGTCCCACCCAAAGACATTTTTCAACTTAATTTTTACGCATTTACACATACACTTATTTCAATTTCCTTAACATACAGACACAATAAGTACAGCAACAGCAATACAAAACAAAAGCAACTCAACAATAGCAACTACACCGGCAACTATTGTACACAACTACACCGACAGCAACAACTTCAATTCAACAGCACACATGCAAACAAAAACAAGAAACTTGTAACACAATGGTAGTGCCTGACAATGGAATGGCACATGAAACACAAAAGTACATGGTAACCGGGCTTGGAATTTATAGCACCCAACCATTCATGGTACACAGGCGCACTGTCGGTGTAGTCATCGTAAAGCCACAAAGAAAAAGTAGACAAGTGCAATGGCAACAGCAGCAGGTAAGCAGCAATGTGGTTTCTATGGTTGACTGGTTGCGTGGCTGTTTGTGTTTAACTAGGGAACGAAGAGAGAGTGTAGCTAAATACAAAAGCCACGTGACAATGTTTTAAAAAAGGGGTCGAGATATAGGGAAAGAAGTTGGTCAAAATGCCATTGGTGTGTTTATGTTTTTTTTTTTGTATTTTACTAACCAGTATCTTGCACGCGGAAGCTTTCTTTTGTTATGAACACATGACATTGAACGAGATCTACATGCATAATTATACTCTGTTCCTGAAAGGGTAGAGATACAAAATGTAACATGCAAAAGAAAGCGTAGCAGACCCCACAAAGCATATGTATACTTGACCAGCATTACAAGACAATACGATTTAGCCCTCTTTGTCTGTCCGTCTGTCTATATGAACACCTAGATTTAAGATACTATAAGAGCTAGAGACACAAATTTGTGAGTTTATTTTATTTTTTTATGCAACCCCCGGCTGAGACGATTTTCCATAACTCGGTAAATACTCATTACTAGTGTACGTGTATTTCAGAAATTTAAAATTTTTCCATAACTCATTTGAGTTTTCAAATTACATTTAATTAGTTCTTATGTTTCCTCATATTTCATTTCATCTAAGAATAAATTGATAGTCATAAGTGCAATCTCTGCCAAGCTCGTTCCTCTGTTATCTGGACACTCTCATCGGCGGACACTTTTTCTAAAAACATTCGATCGGTGTATAAAGTATTTAAGTATCCCCTTAAACGGACACTCCCCTTGGGCGGACAAAAATTTGCCGACCGTGAGTGTCCGGCCAATAGAGTTTTCACTTTATACATAATATTGATGACGTTTTTTTGTGGAAGTGGGTATAGGGTTTTTGAGAGTTGAGCCCTATCAACTCTAACATTCCTTACATGTTTTTAATATTTCCATCTTCAGTAGTCACAATAAGTTTCGGTTCAGGGCATTTGGCTACTGCTTTGTCTGCGTAAATGCCAGAAATTTGTAGCTGCCAGCAACCAACAATCACTGCTAATTCCACTTTTAAGAGCAGCTGTCTGACAATGATAACATTAACGATTTTTTAGGGGGCAGAATCGTATAGTTCTTCCTCAGCTGGACGCTTAATGCTTTACAAAAAATCGGTGCACTAATTTAATATTCGTATCCAATATAAAATCAATATACCTCACAATAACAAAACCAACTAACAAATACCCAATTATGATCAATAAATGATTAAATGAAAATCAATTATGAAACTTTGACCAACATGTGTAAGGATAGACCCAAAATGTAACAAGAGAGAACGCTACAGTCGAGCAAGCCCGACAGTGTAATACCCTGTACCCAGGTAAACTTCCGTCACTGAGTTATATGCGCCCATAGCAGCAGCAAAAAGAGGAAGAAGAAGAGCGAACTTGTTGCTGCAGTTTGGGGGGGTTGCACTGGGGAGAATTTGTTTTGCTAATAACTTTTCTTAGAATTGACCGAATTGAATAAAATTTCATACAACAGTAGACAATTATATATTAATTATGTGTGCAAAATTTGGTTTAGGTAGCATTTGAAATGTGGACGCTATTGACGAAATTCTGTAGCGGGGGAAGGGGGGGAAAATTAAAAAAAAAACATAAACTCGTCCTTACTCGGACCTAGGAGAATCTGGATGCCAACTTTGGTTATTCTAGCTTTTATAGTTTCTGAGATCCTCGCGTTCATCCAGACGGACGGACAGACGGACGGACAGACGGACGGACAGACGGACGGACAGACGGACGGACATGTCTAGATCGATTTCTCTCGTCATGCTGATCAAGAATATATATACTTTATGGGGTCGGAGATGCTTCCTTCTGTATGTTACATACTTTGCACAAACCTAATATACCCTTTTTACCCTACGGGTACAGGGTATAAAAAGTAAATATTGGCTGGCCGATATTGGCTGCCTTTTGGTTCGGATCATAGCGGTCATGTTCACACATTCACACATTTACACACAAGCCCACTTTTGTGTGTATTTCCTGCCTTATTGTATGAATTTATATTGCTCACGAACATCGTTAGCACGATTGTTTAAGGAAACAAAAGGCATACAAGAAAAAAGGGAGAATCAGTAACAGAAAAAATGCTCTATCTAGTTGAAATTCAAAGGTAACTAGTTAGCCAACAATT